CGCAAAAGTGCTGAAACAGTGCCACGTTGGTCATCCGGCGGCTAGACGAATGAAATACATAGCCAGTAGTTGTGCATGCTGGCCCCTAATGGATCAACATATCACTGCGTTAGTTGGAAAAAGCGTTCGGTGTCAGCAAGCATCACAGGTGAATGCCAAAGTCACGCCAGTTTCATGGTCACAACCCAATCACCCTTGGTTCAGGATACTCGTCGACTTCACAGGCCCAATTAACGGAACTATTTATTTAATTGTGGTAAATGCCTTTTCAAAATGGCCAAAAATCAGCTTTGTAATGCCGCCCACGACAACTAAGACAATACAGATCCTCACTGAAATTTTCTCCCGAAATGCCATTTTTTCTGACAACGGGTCGCAATTTACCTCTAGCCAACTCCAAGCTTTTTGTCAACGGCTGGCCATCAAGCACTGACGTTCGCAAGCATACCGCCCGCAGTCGAATGGGAAGGCGGAAAGTTTTGTGGATACGTTTAAAAAAGAATTGGTCGAGTCAAAAGGAGAGGGGACACCAGCTGACGCGTTACGAAACTTCTTGTTCGTTTATCGAACAACAAATGAGGCGGTACCGGAGCAAAAGTCCCCAGCAGAAATACATGTGGGAAGAAGACTGAAAACGATCCACAGCCTAATGCATACGAGTAATGCATCAACACCAGTACAGACAAATTCTGAAAAGCAATCCACGTATGAAGTGGGATGTACTGTGTTTACCCGTGACAACAGAGCAACCCATGGTTCATAGACAGAAGCTCAAGTGGTCAGAAGAGCAGGCCGTGTCATGTACGAGGTATAAGTAGAAAGAGACAGGTGGACTCGACATCGGACCAGCGGTTAGCCTCAGACCGCCCACCAACAGGAATAAATCTTCCCCTTGACATCCTGCTTGTTACCTTCAACTTACCAGCAGCCCAACACTAGAAAAAGCTCAACAACAAGCTGATCTCCGTTCCGGAAGGTGGCCTCTTAGACAGCGACGAACAACAATCAAGATGCAAGTCGACCCCATGAAAGTACGCTATTAAAAAGGGGAGATGCGTTGGGGACGTTAGATCCTCAGAACTCGCTTGTAAAAAGACCTAATTTCGTAATTTTATTTAGAAAATTTGAATTTCTTTGTTTTCGCGCCAAAATTGCCTTTTTCACCTGTGGAACTATGGTCTACTATGATATTAGTACTGCTCTAATAATAGACCTAATCCTAAATTTGTAGATTTGTCATGATATAACTGCCTAATCTATAAGATCTTACGTGGAAGTCATACCATCGACTACACCAACTCACTGTATCGTTCAATTACCAATGCATGATGTAGAACAAGGTTAGGCTATAGAAAGAACAATATATTTAATATGAATAGAAGATATAAGGTAACATTCAGCAGAGACCACGCCTGCATGGCCGAGCCATGCCATCGATCAACTCCAGTCCATTCAATTCATTGTTCGCGCCTTCCCCATCGTTAGGTATTTCTCCGCGTTAAATATTGAATATCTATTTTCTGAGTAGTCTTGTGTTCAGCTTTGTGGATTGTGTGGTTATTGTCCAATGCCACTACACTACTCTCCCACCAGAATCAACGTGATGTTGGTTCGATACCGAATTGGATGGGATTGTCGTGCGCCGAAGGTTATCAAGACTAGTAAGAATCCTCCGAATATCGATTAGCTGAAAGATAAATCAAAAAGGCGACAGCATCTGGTCGGGAAATACATGTAATAATTTTAAAATATCTGCCTTCATACTTAACACGCTTAAAATGAGATGTGGGTGAAGATTATTTGAGCTATAAAAATGGGATTACAATAATAATAATAAAGTGATGCGTGTTAATAGCCGTTGGTTAATAACTTGACGTATAGGTAGTAAGTATTTTGTGTTTAGCTTTGTGGATTGTGTGGTTATTGTCCAATGCCACTACACACCTTCATGTCGTATTTCCCACTTGAGAGAATCTTAAATGCTATTGTTCCGTTGTGTTTTTTAGTATGCTGTTTTGTAACCTGTTATATCCGGTGAAGATTAAATTACAGGTAACTTCCAAGGACTATTCATGGACTAATATTCTTTAAATATTCTTATTGTATAACTATTCAACAATTACACTATGTATATTTATATTCCTTTTATGATAAGCTTTATTTTGACTTATAATTTATTATTGTACGTTTTACGATTCTTGAGCTATGCTCAGTCTATTAATTACTGTCCCCCTCATTCACAGCCACTTTTTGGCTTGTTCGTGTACACATGTTATTTTCTATTTTATGGTACGTTGTGGTCTGTCTGATTGATATATAAACCGAGTATGTCTGAAATAAACGATTCGATTCAAATTACAGAAGCTGGTGTTGTGTTCTGGACTCAAGTGGAAGGGTTAGGAGGACATAGGACCAATAAGGACGCTAAACTGCTCATACCGGTTGAACGTCATTGGTTTGGCATAGTGCGAAGATTGTATAAGCCGGATCCTGATTGTTTGATAAGTCGCGTGATAGAAAAGTCAGACATCCAAGGTCATAACATAACCCTCCCAAGGACGGTTTTGTGCTGTATATGTATGTTTTGAATTGTGTTTGTTGCTATCGCTTCTGCGGAATATACTTTCTCATTTCAAGTTTGAACTTCGTTCTCTAGTTAGCGGGGCTGAGACGCATCGAATAGCTAGCTTATTGGTCTTTGGTCAACGAGTCTTTGTTCCGTTCGCAGATTAAGTGAACCCGTAACCGCTTCAAACCTAGCAGCTCTTAGCTATCTGTCCGAAATGCATATAGTTATCACTTTCCATGTGTTGAAGGAATTTTTGATGATAATTCATATGTATTAGTAGTAGTACCAATTTCTATCACGGTTAAGTGATGATAAGGTCGAGGCATCGATGGTGAGGGCGATGACTTCTATCCACCCGTGTTTGTGGGGGCAGAACATTTTGCATGTATCAGGCTCTTTATGATTGAGAATAAGTCAATCAATCTGTGATATAGATTGTTTTCCTACGCTCACCACTCAGATTCATGCTTCCAATATTATGCTGGATTAGCTATTCTACTAAGACAACCTAACTCGGACTTTTACACTACGATTGTGTGGCCGGCATCGGATAAACAAAAAAAGGAAAAAAAGTTAGACAACAAAAGATATAGTCCTTAGTATTCTTAACACTTCACCCTCTATATACACACCCTTCTAATAAACCGCTTTCCTTGTACCAGCCTTGACTCCCTTTCCTTCATGTGAGCTTACTACAACTCGTTAAACGACACAACTCATTGTCCTTTATTACTACATTCTCTAATATGGAGCCTCTGACTTCATTTCACTCTAACAAGAGATAAGGTGAATTTATTCTAATTTATTGTACCTCTGTCCGTTCTACTACACAATGTTAAGCAACGTTTGGCGTTCATATCCAAGTGCCTTGCTGCCCTTCTGTTTCTCTTTTTTTTCTTCTTCTTCTTCAGAAATTTGCTCTGAGGGCACAGCTATGAAACTTCTGACGTCTGGAACAAACTTGACGTACGCGTCCCCTCAAGGTCACAGTTTACAACAAGCGATCTACGGGTATAATTTATAACAACTATAAACTTAATAAGTTGCGAAGCATTTTGTGAACCAACAATGTTGTAATTTATAGATCATGCCTTTAAAGATGGCGTGTACCTGTGCATGCAGATATATATATTATTATTATCAAGGAACAGTTGAAATATTTTATCCACTATGTACTTTCAGACAAATTCTGGTGTCACATATTTAGCCAATGTAAAGAACCCGGGTGTAACATCCTACTGGCGTTCTTCAGTCAATAAAGCGTAGTCACCGTTGAAGTTCCTTTGTAAAACAGGTGATAGCCTGACTTCGGAATCATTCAAGCTGTTTTCACTGTCGTCGAAAGATCTAACCGAGAAATATGCTCACGTGTTATTCCTTAAAAAGTATATTGCTCTCTTGAATTTTTTTAAAAGATGAGAAACTAAAAAGGTACTCACACCAAAAAATATCCAGCTTACCCAAAAGTACCTAAGTTACGCCCAATGAAGTACCAGAGAATAAGGAGGGGTTTTGTTCTAATGTGTCAAGCTGCTCATAGTTCTCTTCACCCGCATAGAACACTGATACATTTAAGCAATAGGCCACACATGAAAGGACATCAGCTCAAAGTAGGACACGAAGTGATCCACGAAAGCTTCGAGCAAGCTTTATCGCCGTTCGTACCAATAAGCTATGAGACTCCTTATAAAAATCTTTATCAGTGGCAGACCCTGGGGGATCCTTCAAAAGAAGGTTACTCAAACCTCGTAGGTACTAAGGCAGACTGCTACGTTTTACTCTACTATGGAATAAGTTCTTTTACTGCACAGCCTATAAAAGGAATGGCGTATAAATCACACTTCTTTTTAACCAAGAAAGCACTCCAATTACCTAAACACAGATACAAAAGAAAGAATTATTCGCTAATTCATCCAAGCAGAGCTGAAGTTCGTTTACCAGTTTATCGACGGAGTTTGTATTAATAATCCCCTTAGTTGTGCTGATAACATTTTGTGATTGTCAAGCCGTAACACCACTGCGCTTTAACAAAAATGTAAGTTAAGAAATATGCAGGGGGTTAACGTTGAAAGTGGTGTGAAGAAAATCCCTAATGTCTTTATGCATACTGACTAGGGATTTGCAACCGTTAAAGACTTTAGGATATGCCCGAGAGTTCCGGACTGCGATCTGATAAGCAACTAAGCTACTAAAAGCTAATGGGAAGATAAGTTTCAAGGTTAAAGGGGATAGCTGTTGATAAAACACTCTGTAGTAGTATTTTTCAGTTGCCTAACAGTTTTTCCATGGTTAAAGAAACATTTGCTTTATTGGTGAGCTCCGATATTTCCTTAATTATTCTGGGGTAAATTTCTTCAGCCTACAGTCAACTAAACTATTAGACTGACTCTGTGTAATGGTGTTTCAATGCGTTGTTTAGACACTTCGTCCGAAGAAATCCCACGTGGGGTTTTGAAATCCCCAAGGTCGTAGCGTCGATTTGTTTTGTATTCGTATTTGTTCATTTGATTATATTTCTCCAATGAACTTGTAATGAACAAGTTTCTACCAACATCTCAAATTGATTGGCTTCTAATGGATAAACCGACGGTCGACCCTATTCTGTTAGGACTCGATGAACGTAATGGTAATACTTCTACTTACTTAATTGTTTTAAAGATAGTGGTATGCAAGAATTAAATGAGTTGTTCTCAAACCCATGTGGAGACCCTCACAGGAAAGAGCATTATGCTGCTGATTCCTCCAATCAATTTGAAGTAAGTTAGCTGGGAGTTTGTACACGGTCACTTTTAGGTAGATGGAAGTTCATGTGTTGATTCGGAATGCCATGAACCGTGGGAGACTAATTTTTGCTCGTCTGGAATAAATGTAACAACATCTGGAACACCAAGGTATAAATCTACCATAACCGCTGGCGTTCCCGAGTTATCTCAAAGTACACTTAAAACGATGTATGATGAACGTGACGTTTTTTGCACCATAAAATGCGACGAGCCAGCTTATCAGCCTTGCGAGGGGGTTGCAAAAACTGTTGACAAACACAACGCTCTTGAGTATTCCAGAAGTTTGATCTCTACAGAACCATTTGTTAAGCGGCGTTTGACAACTCCGGAAGTACCCGGACATTCACCCATAAGTACGGCTATCCACTGCCATTTTAGAGATACAGGGCCTTTAAACTCATTTGGCCCATTCCAATCTTCTAATAAAACTTATGACTCCCTAACCTTACGCTCTGATTTCCCTAATCTTGAGGTTGGTTCTTTCGCCCCACTTACAGAACCTTCATGTATGTTTTCAACTCCCACGGTTATGCCTTCTGTAGATTCTTTGAATCATCGCGAAACATCTGAAGTCGATTCTCAAATATTAAAAGAAACGGAAAAGGTATCTCCGAATTCCAGTCCTGTTTGTCGTCGACCTGGCCTTTTAAAAGGATCAGGCCCTTCCTCTCCTTCTGCTGCTCATCATTGCAGTCTTTGTGGTAAACAATATCGTCATGTTGCTTCTTTAAGGAATCATATGCGTAAGCATACAACAGGAGCGCTTACTTCAAAGCGATATAAGTGCAACCACTGTGTGTATTCAAGCCAGTACCATCGTAACGTGATCAAACACATGGAAGCAACTCATCGTGATCATGAAACACTCTCAACAAACAACACGACTGTTTTTCCTGAGATCGGTTCCGTCCCGTGTGATTCAGTCGCTTCTGATGACTTGAAGTCGGGTTTTATTAACTCTTGCGTCTGGATTCCATGTACCAAAGCTGAGCCAAATGCCTGTTGTACCATGTCTGGTACAACTGATTCCAAAGACTTCCCAATCTTTTCAAATGTTGAACAATCCACTGGTTTTCCAGCTCCAAATCTAGGTAAATTTTAATTGAATTGTTTGATCTTTTAGAACCTCAAATTGTTTCACGTCAAATATCATCAAATTATGGCTCTAGAATGGCGAACAAGCATTATGAAAGCGATCATGTTGGTAATTTAGGGAGTAAGTTGCCATTTCATAATGCTTACTTTTAGTCCCTAATGATGCCTCTAAATCCTATCGATGTGACATTTCAGGTTGTGATCAGGCATTCCAGTCTGTTAAATATCTATCAAATCACATAAAGGATTCACATCGGGATATAAAGAGATTCAAATGTCCACTTGACGGATGCTCATTTTGTGGGCTACGTCGTATGCACCTTAAACGCCATATTACCGAGTTTCATAGTGGTAAGTCAGACATTTATGCTTGTCTCCAACTATATTCTCATATTCTTGGTTATTATCCCTAAAGTTATTAAATTGAGTTTGTAAGTACTGACTCATGTCAGCCAGTCAGTCATGTACAACGTAGAGCCCACTATGTTATATCTAGCTATATGGCACCGTGCTGCTTGTCTGAATACTTAATATCTGTTTGTCAAAATCAAATGCGAGTTAGTTTCATGGTGCGTATGTTATTACTAGGGTATCAGTCTATGATTACGTTATGCTGCTTTGATGAGGTTCATTTAGGACTAACTTTCTATAAGTTACAGTAAAGCTTCATCTCTAAATCGAATGTTATTTATGTACGGTTGTAAAGGGTATTAACTATAAGCCACCTAATTTAACTTTCAGTAAAAACAATTCATTCTGATTTCTATGTTGGCATACCGAGGAACGATAATAAATCGATAAGACAACTTTACTACTCTAACAAAAGTAATCCTAGGGGATATGCTTTACCAAGTTACATCTTCATACTTAAAGAAAATTTTTTACATCTGATTCTGATAGCGAGACTAAAATTTATGGACAAACCAATGCAAATTATGGATGGTAATTCGTGAATTTGGGTGCGTTCATTCATCCATATGACTAAATAGCACTTTGGGATTATAGCTGATGTCCGTTAGTGATGAAAACATTTACTTAAATTCATAACCTTGAAATCTGATTCAAAACCATAGTCCTAATTGATACTAATTTATAAAATTTGACACAGTTAATAGGTGAATTGTTTCGAGTTCACTTGAGAGTCGCTCAAAGGTAGTCTGTAAATTATAGTCCCATTAAAGTTCATTTTCAGAGCTTTACGGGAAATCTGTTCAGTTCATGCAATTTTAGACTTTTAGTCTGCTAAAATGTAAATAAATTTGATAAAAACAGTACGGGAGGTTTGGAACATGGTTTCCGGAGTTTCGAAGATAAACCAATAATGTATCTGGAACAATGGTAACATCGATGAACTTTAGTCAGGTAACTACGCTTTCCTACATCGCTCACACTTAATTAAGATTCCTTTATCATGTGGCCAGTAACCTAACAACCTCATCATGCAACACAACGTGACTGTATGGAAACTATGTATATTCCACCGACCTTAATTATTTTAAGCTCATATTCCTGGGATTTAGTTTACCCTAAAGAGTACATTTGTTTGAATTGGGTGGCTATGTACTACAGATTTTAAGTCAGATGAATGTCTTAAAAATGTCACATACCTAGATATGTACGTCGTTGATATGTTTTTGGCTGCTTTTATTGCTACCTGACACAATACAACTGTATAATATAGCCCGTCAACTATACCTATAATCTTGTATTGGACCTTGAACCAGTTTTTATTTATTATAGTTCTATGAACTAACACGGCATGTTGAGGCAAAGCGTGTTACTAAAATTGCCAACCTATCGTAAATCAGTGTATATTTTCTCTGTAAACTTAATTGGGACGATGATTTAGTGAATCATGCCATCAAAATCCAATTACTAAAATAAACGTTTGTAACTCAGTTAAACTTAGTGAAACCTGTTAAGTCAATCTATGTTTACGCTTTTAAGCCACATTATGACTAATTATACTTGATTCAAGTATGTAATGTGAGGTTTAAACCTGGGACATTGTTTCAAAGATGAGTGATTCAATTACTAACCAACCACTGTATTAGTTTAGTTTTAACCATCTTAGTACCTTCTCACAGGTTAGTGTTTTAGGGTTGTGAGTCGTCTACGACATTAAAAGAAATGAAGTGGGTTTTAAATTTGCTTCCCAATCATGTAAAGCTGGTTACTTTAAAAGCCGAGTTGTAGTTTCATAGTTTGAAACAATTTTTGTTGTTACTAGTTTTTCTATGTATATATCATCCTGAAGTGTTGACTAGAAATCTAAATCTCAGTCATCTTACCTTGGTAATTGTAGCTGAATAAAATTATACTTCGAAGACAACTATAAAAAACTATCTGTTACCATGTCTTCAATCTTTGACATACTTCAGTTGCAGCTAGTCGATCACGTACTTTTAACTCAGTCTTGGGGTATCCTGTTACCCCAAGTTATGCTGTTTAGCCAATGCTAAGCTGCCTGTGTATTTCTCATAGTCTTTTAACCATCAGTTGATGTGATTCTACTCAGTGTTCTTGTTTTTTCTCCAAATTATGCTATCAAGTAAAATTTTGACACGGAATTAAGTTGATGATCCACACTAAAAAATAAAACAAATGCTTCAGTTGAAATACGTGTCCGACTTTTGTAGAGTGTTGTGTGCTCTCGAAAAAAGCATTTGATATTCTTATTTTTTGGCACCATTCATTTGATCATGGCTTTTTTCAGAGGTATATGAGTCCAGAGTACATCTCCATATTTCTGTGATGAAATTGTTAGTCGTTCAGTAGTCTGGCCTCATTAAGTATACTTCGTCTTCACCAAAACTAATATCATGTATTTTGACGTGTATTAAATTTTTGTAGACCCCATGCATCTGATTCGTTAGTGTACTTACGTATGTTTTCCTTTTTAGATAAAAAGCTATCACTGTACAAAATGTTGGACCAAAATCGGCTTAATCATGAGCCGTATAATTCTGTCCAACCTGTAATGATGTATGGTAGACAGGAAGGTCTTGCACTCAATGTAACGAAATTATCCGACAGTCAACCATTAAAACGGCAATGTTACAATTCTCAGATGAATAATTATGTCCCTTTGGATCCTTCTTATGCTAGTGACAACTCGTACCACGATCCTGGCTGCCGTGGGAGTGATGTATATTCTTTTCCGATGTCAGGTTTTTCACATCCATCTGGAGATTGTTGTGTCTCGAAAGACACTGATAGTATGTTATTCAATCACCCAACCTCTAAAAGCTTCGAGCAGAAACCTCATTCATATATCCGTATGTCAAATCAAATCAATAGACCCTTTGAAAATACGTCTAGTTGTAATATGCCGTTCCATAATGAACAACGTTTATCTGTGAACAAAGCCCGTTCAATTAACCCTTCGAGCGATTTTCATATCCAGTCTCCATATCCTCTTTCCGTATCAAACCAATCAGCTCATTATCACCAACGTGATCCAAATACATTGGACAATGATCTTCAGTCATCATGTGAAATTGTGAATAGCGAGTCTTTTCAGGAACAACAGGAATTCTTCTCACAAAATGCCGTCTATTCTAATGTAAAATCACTGTCTTTTAGTCCAAACGATCCATCTACTAATCGTATGACTGAACCTGATGTAGTTGAACAGCTTTTAGATTCGACAAATGCTCCGAATATAGTTTTGGACCAGATTCTGTGTGAACCAATTGAACCAAATAAAGATGATGAAGTTAGAGTTGAAACATCCACATTGTCTACTGCAACTGTGAATACTTCTCAAATCTCTCCTTTGAATTCCAAAGTTCTGTCCAATAATGTAAAAAGTTCTGTATCTGGAGCAAATATGTCAATTAACATTGTACATACTAACAACATGCTCTCAGAGACTGACGCATTCCTATCCGATTTACAAGAAATCCTCGAGCGTGATATGCCCATGCTGACATCTTCAACACCTAAGGGTCTTGATTCTTCAGAGCTTGTTTTAGTCACTGTCAAAGAAGCTATTTCTGAGTCGAAATCTCCCCCTGGAATAACTGGATGTAAGCTAACAAGCACATCGTCACTACCAAGCACTGACTCTGGACATGAATGTTGGAGCAGTAGCAGCAGTTGCAGTGTTGGTCCTACTAATGCTTCCACATGGGGTCAGCAAGAAGCTACAACTCCTTTAAAAGTTTCTTCTCCGTCTTCGTCTTCATATCCATCTAACCAGCCTTCTGGAACAAATCACTCAACTCCTAGTATTTTTGATAATCAGGTTACAGAGCAAATTATCAATGAACAGTTCTCTGATCATGATTCTCGTGACCAACTGTCAGGCAAATGTTCCAATACTCTCCACTGTGCAGCTATTACCGTTGATGGCATGCCGGCCACTCCGCAAATGTCATCAGTCGTCGGATCACATCATACATTACCTTTGAAGTCAAATAAGAATGTTCGCTTGAACAATGCCAGTCAACTTTTTCATGGTCATTCATCTTATCCTCATAGTATGTTATTCGTTTCAGCTTCGGTGTAATTTTATATGTATTCTCTTATATATTTTTCCTATTTGGTCTAGTATACTGTCGGTATTTTTTAAAATTCCATTTAGTGGCTGGATCCCAACTTCCTACAAGTTAAGTCTTCCTGAAAATTATAGAGCTCTCTACGACCGAAAAATCTTGCGAGTAATGTCAATGAGATTATAAGACAGAGTACAGAACCGCATGAAAATAGCATTTCAAACATACCACAGGTAGTCGATGATAATAACTCAGTGGTGAGTCCTACCTGAGTCGGTAACTGTAATTATCACGCAAAATACTAGTGCGTACATGGTACATCTTTTGGATAAACTAGCGGATTTATCATTCATTCTGTTTTATACCTTAAAAAGACAGGATTATTTGTTCGATAACAGTTGCTGTTATGAAATGGTACTACTATTTTAACCAAACCACACAAAGTAACATAAAAAATATTCAGAATAGAAAAAGTACTACAGGACAGAAAATGACAAACAACTATTGAAGATTTGTTCGGGAATAGTTTGTAACGTTTTATTGCAGATAAAACTAAATTATAGTATAATAAATATTTATATAGATTTCAAGTTTAAACCTTTACGGTTCAATCGTTTGACCATTATACAATAAACTAGTTTTTGTGTCTAAACTCTACTGCTTTTCAGGCAGTTGGTCAGCAAGCAATCTTAGCAATACCCATTACTTCACATAAACTCACATTTCGTTACATCAGACTGAATACCTCTCAGAACTGCATCAACATAGCAGTCTTCCTTATGCGTTACTAACCGTTTGACTGATTCCTATAGTTTATAGTTGAATATTTCATACCTGAATCAGTCAAAGAAACCCAGCCATCCACTTCTCATGGTTATTCATGTGCGGATGCTTGCAGTTGCGTGATAGTCAATACATTTCACTTTCAGTAGAGTAGATAGTGTGTTATAATCCTGTCTCACATTCTTTCATTTACTTAGTCTAGTAGTTTCACTAACTTCTACACAAGCCATGTGACTCAAAGCTGAATGCATAACTTGTAGTCAACGAACGGGCTTCATTATTCATTTTATTTTTGCAATAATAAATACAAAACTGCATAACCATCATAATGAGGTGGCCAAGTGGTTAAGACACTCCACTTACTTCGGTCTGGGCAACTGAGTAACGCTATTAGCCTCACACTCAAAGTGTGGCTTATACCTAAGCACCTAGTGAATGATTTAACTCCAATTTTGGAAAGTCAGATGCTCCTTAAATATAACATTGTACACCAATAATCAGTAGCACTAATCTATCCGCATTCGTCAATACGTTGGTATCAATGAGCTCCAAGTTTGACATGATCGTTCCTCGTGTTTGAATTTAGTGCTGATAAGATATAGTTGTCTGTCGGGGAAATTATGTACAAGTAGCTTCATGATTTAGAATCTAAAGTTCTCATAATTCTCAATGGAGAGAAGTCCAAGACATTCGGGGGAGAATCTTTAAAATCATTTTAAAAGAATATAAGCATAATATTGACAGCACACTCACCCAACACTGGATTTTAAGACATTTCTGTAGAAGCTAACAACCGAAATATAAAATGTACTATCTAAATAGTTGTCATCGTAGCACTAAAATACTGGTATAGGTAGCCGTGTTGGATATATAAGACGTAATAAATGTCTATATCATTTTTAGCTCTTAATTCCCCTCTTTACAGTTGATACTGATCTATGATGAAAACTCCCCTTAAATTAATCAATGCCTTCATTAACCACTTAATTAAATGCGTTTATATAATCAATGTATAAGAGAAATATGTCAAATGTTAGGTCGTATGATATCAGCTGATGTTTAGAAAACAATCATTGTGGAATACGAGGGAATAAAGTGCAAATTTAAGAAAAAACTAAGACAAATGTTTTTTGAGTGGGTAGGAAATTATCGATCCTATGAAAAGAGGACTATGCTATTTAAAGTCAGATGAACCAATTAGACAATCAGTGTGATAAAGGTTGGCATAATGTACAGCTTTAAGAAATAAAATATGGTAATTTAGAACATGTCACTTCATTACAACGGAACTAGGTTGGTAACCTGTGCGGCTTGTACACTCAATTCATCCGTTAAATAAGTGATATTGAAAAAAGTCATTTGCTAGGTACCATCTTCTAACACAACTTATTGTAGTGTTGCGGTTCACACCGTGTTATTATCTTTGATCAGTCTATCTTACTCCTCAATCTGTTTCTTGACTTGAAGCGTAGGCTGTTAAAACTCTAGACGACGTAGAACCCAGGTAGGCTAGTCATTACTATTTTTTTTAGTTTCGTCCTTGAAAGGTAGAAACCACGTATGTTTATGCTCTTTAGAACCAAGTCTCATTGTTTTGTCTGAGAAGAGTCACGTCGTTCCTATACAAGCCAAATAAAAATCACTGTTTCTACAAGATTTTCTAAGAGTAACAGTTGGTACTTTTCATTAAGACTTCGTGTCCTACTGTAGTATTGTTTTTTTAGAGCTATCGGTAGCGATGTACATACTGTAAATAAGCACTTACAGAGTTGGTAACTCCCTAAAGTGTCACATATGTGCTACTTTTAAAGTAGAACCGGTTCATGAGTCTCCATGTTTTCATACCCTGTACAAATCATTGTTTTGAATAACCCCATTCACTATGGGGAGTGGTACTTTTGAGGTAGTGGGTGATAATAATAGTAATAAGAACATTTCTGAACACACCTGATCATCCTTCAGTTTCGCGACTCTTGAGACTATATATTGTATAAAATATATAATATTTTCTGTTGCATCATACAGTGGAGTTGTGATTCAGTGATTTAAATACTTGATCCTTATGCACTGAGTCGCAGGCTTCAATATGGTTTTGGTATCTAATTAATGCGAGTATTTCTTAAAAAATGAATACAGCTACAAGTTAAATGCTGCAGCTTAAAGTTTTTATTAGATTGAATTAAGTTATAATTAACTACGCAGTTTATCCAATAGTTCTTGAAATCCCAAAGTTTAAAAGCCATCTTCCTCATTCTAGGTACTAACTTCGTTCAAAATTCCCAATCTCCTACTTGTAACTCTGAAAATCCCCGTCTACAATATTCACAGGATCATAGTGCTTCCAACCAAATCTCTCCTATGTACAGATTTTCAGGTGATCAGTCAATGAATCAACAGAGTTCTGTTCCATTTTACTCAAGTCATAATTCTTATGTGTCAAGTGATTTAACGTCCAATCAGACAATGTTCAGTTATCAGCAAAATGAAGCTCAACAGATGTGTCAGTATTCATTTAATCCATCATCCTTACATTCAGAGCCAACTTATCATTCCTCCTACGTTCAGCCAAAATATCAGAACTATAGACATAATGAGAATGATGTACGACTAACACCGTTCAAGAACTATCCACCCAACCCTCAGGAGCAGGTTTACTGGCAGCCAAATGCTAAGTATCGTACAGGTATGTTGATTGCTTAAAATATTTCTAGATATCCATTTCTAATTATTAGTAAAGAGTAACAAAACAACAAACATTTTTATTCATTTAACAAGTTATCGATAATTATTTCAGTATGTTGTTGAATATTACATAAACACTTACATGATATTGAGTTTAATTAACTATCGGCACTACGACAAGAACCCTGAAATAATTAGACTATATCTGTTTTGGTCATGGATTTTTTTCAGCGTTTTGCTTCTATTTAATATGAAAACAGATGAAGTTTTGTTAAATTTAGTGTGTAGCGAAAAAAGAAATCTTGTTTTTACGATCATACGTGTGTATTATTTGTCTCAGTGTAGTACAATTGTTGGTGCTATATTGCAACAAACTTTTCACATCGTAATAATAACACCGGAATAATATAATAATCTATCTCCACTCACACAGTAGAGACAAAAAGAAACTCCAGACTAAGGCTCAACAATAATTGACAATCATCTACTGTCGTTCAATATGTAACATCTGAAATTTTCTCAACTATGTACAAGCACATCTCAACTGCATCTTGTTTTTTATTTCAAATTACTGTACTAACTTTATAACATTTTCATTTAACCAATTGGTCAGCTCCATCTTCGTCCCACTTCACCCTGAACTAACTGTTTAGCCAGTATCAGTCTACTTGTTCCATATTTTGGCTTCAATATTTAACCATTAACACTTTCGTTTTAGCGATTGAAGAGTCGTGTTTAATTGGTGAGGAGAGAGTGTTAATGACGTTTTTTAAGACATCAAAATAAGTACTGCAGAAAAACGAGGAAAGAAACAGTGTTGAAATGGATTATAAGGATATTTATGGCAGGGAGCAATTCCATAACAAATGTAACCTTTAAAATTTGGGTGTAATATAAGTTTATGTTAATATCGAATGGAATTTAATTTTAAAGGCATTTCTTTAGTATTTAGAGAAATAAAAAAGAATATTTGAACTTGAGAGCAGATCACACTGTCTTCAGTTCTTTCTTGGAAAATTACTAAACAAGTTAAAAACTGTAATTAAAATGAAAGCCAATTGTTGCGAGGACGTTTTTGGTGACTGATCAGATTAAAGTTTCAATTGATAAAATCAATGAATAGAATGCTAATCAATAGACCAACTCAACAATATTATGCAACCGGGTGATAGATACTCACAAGACTGTATTATTAAACTAAGCCCCTGAATGATTAGGAATCACAGACAAGATCACTTAACCAGGTGAATACGTTTTCCGTATAATAAAATAGCATACTCACAGAATATGAACATGATAATATATCAAGTTGAAAGAAATCAGTTTGTAGGTCGCTTATTCTCTCATCAATCAAGTCCTAACTCTTAAGTCAAATCCTTGAGCATCGTATCACCACCATTAAACAAAAATGACAAATCGATGTGAATAATAGTTCTGTATCACCTAATGTCTCCAACTTGGGAGTAGGACGACAGTTTATTAAGTAAGTATTCAATAGTTATTTTCTCATGTTTTGAACAGTCTGTATAGTTTGCCGAACGTGAACCAATCCAATTATTAACGTACTTGTCAGAAATTTCAATCATTAAAACAAATGGCACATTATTTTGTTTTATTTTTTTTGAGTAATAATAAAACGTGACAACTTGCTGTTTATCCAACTGATTCTTAAAACATACGATCGATAGCTAGTCAGTTCTTAATGCGCTCAAGAATTACCCTTAGGTTGCGTGAACGAAGTAGGCGTCAGATGATAGATGTAGATGTCAAAAGTAGTACATTACGAAATGTATCAAAAAAGTAAGTTGGGAATATGATTTCAGAGTGATAAGTTGTTCAGTACTTAAATTATGTACAGTGACCGAATGCTTCTAAGTCATTGTGCTGATTATTTTTCACTAATATGATCCAGAGACTAAACGTTTGACACAAACTTCATGTGGGTAACTTAGTATTAGTAAGAGGTTACGTACTAAAATCAGTAACCTTATAGGTTATTCCGAGCATCCTAAGACCTTTGCAAATCAATTGTTTGTTCTTTATTTTTCCTTGTGCGAATTGTTCGGCAATCCGTTCTTACAAATCTGCATACTTTTTGAACAATTTTAGAAGCTATTCTGTTATTCTAGATAACTTGATAGATGATCAAGTTGTCAAAACCTATTTTATCCCACAAAGAAGATTTTCAACTCAGGTATGAATGCTTTTGGTGACGTAGTGTTCTCTGAGCTAAGTGATTTGACTGCAGAGCTTCCATTGTCACTAGGCATTTCCAGTGCCTACTTCAAGTCGAAGTAAACTCAGTTATTCCACAAGTCTTACAGCAGTTGATTCCTATGACTGACCTTCATTAGTGCTAACTAGGGTAAAAAATTTGTACCATATAAATTAATGTTATAATAATTGGGACTGATTGGATTGAATGAAGCACTCACATTTCTTAGTTTGTTATTTATGTGTCAGATATACTAGCCGAACTAAAACTATTGGTACTACGTATGACAAATGGTTTTTTCCCTACAATTTCCGGCTATTATCCTAAGCTTACTTTTGGTCTTACCTTGGGTTGCATTTATACTTCAACGCAGTTTAGTGATTAAAGTTCTTACATTTCACTCATATTCACTTCAGAAGAGTGGTGGTCCAATGACTATGCCATGCTCAGACGAACGTCACCTACATATTGTTAGAGCCCCTAGAAGATGAACCAGCTCCCACGCATTGAATGTGATTTACGCCATACTTATTACTCAAACATTTTTTATATACTATTACCATTGAACTAACTGCTTCAATGAATTTGATGTTCATCTTGTTGTGCTAATGAAGTATGGCAACTTGGACCGATACATATATGTGCCTGGCCGACTATTTTTTAAACCATGTGGTTATTAGTCGTTCATTTTCAGCTAACTTAATTCTATAGCTCAAGACTGACAAACAATCCAGTTTTTCAATTTCCCAGTCATATATTTATGTCGAGCACATTTTGTAATTATCAAGGACCACAGTTTGTTGCGAGAAATGTTATTTTATCGGTTTCACTGTAATGTATCCCGGCAGGTCTTTTGCTTGTATACGAGTACAGGTAAAATCATCCCAGTTTACTTGGAAATTTCAAAGTAGCATACTCCACCTAAAATACGAGATGGTCCATCGATTAGTATTACCATTCCTCACATATAGTATGTACCTAAAACCCCAATTACGCAGACCTGTACTTGACAAATAAAGTTATACATCAACTAAAACATTTTTGAAATGAAATCACTTAATCATCACCTTTGCTTTGGATATAGTTTACATGGTTGATTACTATGATTGACTTTGTATTCATTTTCAAAAATCGAATCTACCGTTTGTAGTCAGTAATTGGTGACTTTTGTTGATACTGTCAAAGGATAATAGAAACCATGAGTGCTGATGAATCAGTAAGAAGGAATTTAAACTGGAAAAATACCTGGACAGTACAGTACACACATTTCCTTAGCTTTGTACTCTACATTACAAAAGAAACCTGACCAAAACTCTTAGTTATGGAATACGCACTATATATTCTACGTATATAGTTGAAGAATAGCTAAACTCCTTGCGCAATACTCTTGGGAAGAACGGATACCCTATAAAGTTTATAAACAAATATATGGTCACGAAGGTTAGAATAGGCGAAATACAAACGCTGTTTATGTGCCTACAATTCAGAGGTGATGCAGCTAGCGTAATATTAATCCAGAGATTACGCAGTACAATCCGAAAATCATTGAACGCCAGAAAACTACGACTAGTGTTTCCTACGCGCCCAATGGTGACACCGAGGCTAAAGACGAATTACCTCGAACAACCACCCGGTTTCTTATCAGTTCGACTGCTCTTGTAAAGAAAGTTATATTGGTTGAAGTTCTAGGAATTTACATTTTCGTGCTCGCGAACACCTCCCAGCGTGGCCAAGCAAATGTCTTGTAGAGAAAGTGAACAGCTGAATGTTGGCCCACTTGGTTTAAACAGGTCATAGTTTTAGTATATGCCAAGCCTTTTCAGTTGTTTATCGGGTTAGTAATTTTTTGCCGAAGCTTGTCAGACTCATAGTCCTTCAAACGACGAAAGCAGTAACCATTCGGATTAAGAAACCAAAAATATATGTACGAAAGAAATATCTCCAACTGCTTCTCTTGCCCTAGTCAACTTCGGGGCCAATTAATCAATAGTAATGTTAGTTATTGAATGACCTAATTTGACTAATGTACTTACGACTTTCCTTAATCAAATATAATTGTGATTTCAATAGTTGAATCCATGAGTTGATGTAAGCTAGACCACCATTGAAAACGTGGAAACACTAGACGACCGTTTCGTCCTAGTATGGGACTCCAGCAGTGCGCATCCATGATCCCGTATCCAGGACTCGAGCCCAGGGCCTTCATTCTCGCGCGCGAACGCTTAACCTCGGCTACCAAGGAGGCATCCAACGGGGTTAATATCTAACTTCGATTGATCCGTGATCTTGTACAACCCTTCATTATCTGAGTTGGATGACTGTCTCACGCCTGATACAGATTAGATTCCACTGATCACGGCTTCCAGCTTAATCGACCCATGAATTCAACTACTAAAATCACTACAGTCTCCACAAACACCCATTCTAATAAATATAATTGTCTCTTATCTTTATTCACATATCTTCGTATTACTATTATTATTATTAGGTTTAACGTCATTATTAGTCTCTCGAGTACATGATGCATTCATCCCGCTTTCTTTATGTTTTACTAACTTTTTACACATTATTGTCTTTGACTGAACATTTGGTCGAATTTGTAATTGCAGTATTATTTCTCTCATTTTATCTGACCATATTTTTCTGATCATGAACCTTACAATTTCACTTAACATATAAACTGATTCAAGTTAACGTTCCATATGAATCATCTTAACATTAACAATCCTAAATTCAAATCCTATAACTTTAAACAATGCACTTTTATCCTAAATCTGGTCACTTTTCAGATTATTAATTTGGATATATAATTGTTGAACCTAAAGAGAATTTATTGAAAATAATATTCTTCGTTTATATGTTAGTCTTTTAATAGAAAATAGTTAAAAAATAACTCGGATGAAGTTTAGTTCAGCATTTTAATTTATTAACATCTTTTAATTTTCTTCTACATACAAACAGATCCATACGAACAAATGCCTAACAATCTTCCTATATCATGCCGCAATATGGTTTTTAATGCACATGAATCATATCCTTTTGAAAATTCAATGCCTTATTCACAAACCAGCTCGATATCAACGCGAGTTACTGACTCTATACTTAGTGATAATGAAAATAAATCTACGCATAATCTTCGACATTCGGATCAACTATATATTCGAAATTCTACTTGTCCTACTCCAAAGTATGTTAACTTTCCAGATACAGACAATCTCCCTTGTGATAGAACTTTTCAAACAACTGTAAGTAAAATTAATTTTTAATGGTTTGGATCATCCTGTTGTTGATATTTTGATTGACTTTTTGATCAGTCTTAGTGACTGGCTATTTGGACTCAGTAGCTAAGTGAACAACGCCTTGGCGTTTGAGGCGAAAGCTATTGTGTTTGAATCTCGGAGTAATCATCAACTCGAAGATGTTAGTACATCCAGCCGATAAGTCCCAAATAGAAGGGTATGCTCATCCTGGATTCTACCGCTAGCCACATTCCTTCTATTCTATGTAAACTGCACGTGAATTTTTTTATAGCAAAGATTGCATGTCACTATTAGTATAATACGTGGTTAAATGTTTCTTATGCTTCTATCTTGAAATATTCTGCGCTCAATCATGTTTGTTTGTACTTAAGGGAGAGAATATATTTTGTTTCATTTACATTTAAATGACTCCAAGCAATTTTTTATGTTAACTGATTGCGAAACACTGTATATCTGTGAGTTTTGTACGGTTATATCGTACATAAAGTGATAATTACTCTGTCGGTTTCCCTTTGGTAAGGAATATCAGTGTTTTGGACACCTTATCAATTTATATGCACAATGGTCAGTTATTTAGAAAAGTAATAATGACTTACTCATGGATCCATAGTCTTCCAACCATATTGGTCAATGTTCTTGAACCCTCGTAAACAGAACGCGTATTGAACGGCCAAAATACCTAGCCTCCTAGAACCTCAATGATGACTGGTGTAGACGTAAGTTAGTGGAAAGTTAAAAACACCTAGACCAAAACGTCAGTTCATAAAGTCACTGATTGTTGGACTGAACTATGTAATTAGGCACCGACTACCTGATAGGGGTTTGCGCAATTATGATAACCACAAACGTATATTTTCTCGAATTTTATCTACGCTTAATCTTTTCTATGACCATCGATACTGTTACGAATCATATTACTATGCCTTTCGTTGTGCTGATGTTATGTGGCAACTTCAAACGACACATATACACGCCAGGTTTACACGTACGTATGATTGACTGACATTGAAGTAGTCTAATTCGAGAGCTTGATTTGTTACAGAACATGGGTTGATCAGAGAACACTAACTTCGAAGTTGATTTAATGTACGTGAATTCTCTTGTATTTTATTTATATCACATACAAAGTTTGGTACAATTGGGGCACCAAAAAATGCGCTTCATAAATAGATTCATATTGCTGTGATAAGATGGTTGTCAGAGGTAGTCAACAGGAAACCCTGTACCTAAGTTTCGTGCTACTTGACACTCGTCACCAAGGTGTACCTGTCATCTTGAGGGAACTGATGCTCCCTAACAGACTCGGTTCCGTGTCACCCAGCTTCACAGTCAGAGACGTTACCACTAAGCTATCCAGGCCGCCACTGACCTCTCGTAGGACTGAGATATATTTACAATTGATTGATCACTGGGTGGTGATCAATGTCATGTATGTCAGGTCCTTCTTAGTGCAGATAATGCTACGAAGAAAGCGAAGACGGAAGTATCATATAACTAATAAGTAAAGAATAATATTATCACATGTGATAAGTAGTTTAGTTAGAAACTAAAGTCAAGAAAGACCTCTTTCAGCTAAATGAGTCTATTTTATTTTTATAAAGAATGTAGTGGAAAATCACAGCAAAATTGGTAGGGGCTTGTATTCTGACTCGTATCTGATAGTCTCAAACCACTGAGTTCCAACATCTTACGGGCCCCATGCACATAATCGTTATCCACTGATAGAGGTTATCGATTCTTTTGGTGATTGATGCTCTATATTCTTATTAACGAATCTTTGTGGATATTCATTTCTGGTAAATATTTTTACATATGAGTTAATTCTTCGTGGATACTTATCAGGACCGCAAATTCGACGAATTATTATGACAAGAGACACAATTAAATTCTCTACTAATAGGTAACCAGTTTTAGAAATTTTCTAATTGGTTCTCTGGTCATTTTACTATTAATTATGAGAGTGTTTAATCTGTTTTTCACGTCAAGAATGAATTTTGTAATCAACTGACGAGTCCATATTACAACCAATGTGGGTGATTTGATATTTTAAACCCTTAACTTCAGGTTAGCAATTCTCTGGTTAAACACCATCCTAACTACTTCAGTTTTTATAACGAGTCTGTCTAATTTTATCTTGATGTCCAACTCACACATGTAAGGAAAGTCTTTTGTTTTCAAATGATTTTTTTAGAAATAGAATATATGTATAATGCTTATTTTCTAATCTCCTGTGTTGTATTTTTCTTAGCAACAGCCAGTTAGTAAACGTTGGCCTACTCAAGAACAACATTTATTTAATCCTTATAGTTCATATCCTTCGTCAAACTATACTCCTAATCTGCAAATGACATCCCCGATGTATCCAGTTAGACAACCACCCATACATTCCATTTCACGTGTTAGATCAGAAGATTCCAATTCGTGTATAAGTTCATCAAACCGTATGCAAAATCATGGATCTTATTTTTCAAATCAACCTCCTTCAACTTCACAATATTTCTCAAATTCTGCTTGTTATTCACAATCACGTTCAGGTCATGTTTTTTCACCTCGTTCCCAGTATACACCATCTCAATCTGTTTATCGTGACATGTCACAAAATGAAAACTACCTTATTGGTGATAGGCGTTATTGCACTTCACAATCCAATTCAACTATCCAAGCAAATATTAGACATTCGAACATGGGAACTATTGGAAATTGGTCTGTGGACAAAAATTCATCTTATGCAGGAAATCAACAAGACACTATAATTCCACAAGGAATCAACAATTCTAATGTAGTTGGATATTCAACAGAATCTAATCCAGCTAATATTGATCAACATCCAGATAGCTGTCAACAATTCATACCCAATCCACCAAATTCACATTTCATTTCAGACTCAGTGGATCATGTGAACTCGTCGTTGGATAACCCATCGTCTGTGAGTAGTTTTTCTTTGACATTTTGTTTTTGTTTGGTTAACTTCATTATGTCCACTAGGGGTTACAGTTTAAATTGTTGTAATGTCTCTTCTGCATCCCAGTGATTTAATCATTCCACCTCTGAATGTCAATCATAGATTCACACCCACCCTAACATATTCAGTTTGGGCAACCAGTAACCTTCTCCAGCTTTTTTGTACAGTGAATGTAGTCTCATACTAACTGATGAGCTTTTATTATTTCCCTAACATTTCTCCTACTAGTTAATTTTATGTGATTTCTCTACTTAATTTGTTGGTTCAGAGTTATACACGCGTTTACAAGTTTCAAAGCTTGCCTTGTTTTCCAAATTTTGACGTGAATAGTCACAGAAGTGATTGTTGCTCATAGATCATTGTATATGTGTATATATTGAATAACTTCATAATGGTGTCGAAAGCCACTGGTTGAATGAAAACATGAGATCTACGACTTAATTGTTTCTGTTTTGATTATCATCGTTGTGACGATTGTTACTATCAGGCCTGATATTCAAGGTCAACCCTACCTTATACAGTACATACTATATGGTTGGCGAAGTTACTTCATTAGCTGGTGAGCGGACGTCAAAATTAATATTTTAAATTCTTTTAAAATATCTTACCGCATTTATTTTATGTTAAAATGCATCTGCCCCGGTATCAGTTCACTGAAAGATTACGTCAATAATTCGGTCTCGTGGATAGCCATCACTTGGTCGCTTCGCAACATTACATATCACATACCGATCCTCACTTTTTTCCTTCATTTTAACAATCGAATGTCAGGTCATCAAATTATAATATCCTAATCCATGACTGCATAACCTTGTTGTGCTGCGTTACAGTGACAAAGGTTAAATTGTTCCTGTCACGTGAATTGTTTAACCACTTCTTTTCAATGAGTCAATTTCCATCACTATCTTGAAAAATCGACTTCTGTGGCTTAGTCATGTCTTACGAATGTCGTCCCAGAGAATCCAACATCGTGCATTATTTGCCGACTCTGGGGCCGGTTGGGAAAAGCGGAGAAGCGGTCAGTGTATGACATGGTATCGTGGTATAAAAGAGTGGTGTATAGGACTGGCTTCTGTTCGTCCTTCACAACTCCCTGCTTGGCGTCCTAAAGATGTTGCAACACAGTGGCTAGAGACATCATCAGACATGGTTCAGAATATCAACCAGTGATGATCCTGTTGTAACCTTTACTTTCTTCATAGAAAATGAACGTTACTTTAACTGAAAAAATTCTTTCTAGTTGTAGTTTTGCTAACTGAACTGTTTTGCTTATTGTTATTATTATTATCTCACTCTCATACACTAATTTCCTTTAGTTGGTGTTCTTTTTATTATGCGCACTTTACATTCCTTATCTCCTCACAACCTCATTGTTATTGTGTGGCGAATATGTATTTGGTGCCCCTTGTACCAATGTTTATGTGTTCAAATAAATAAATAAATAAATCATAAATACATCAACCCATGACTTGAGCGTAGAAGTTTACGATTAATCTATATGTTGGGTAATTGAATAATTTGTGGACCATATCATTCGTGGTTTTACATCGTTCAACTAAGTAAAATTTCTCATTGTTAGATGACTTACAGTAGTAATCAACAGTCTGACAGTGATACAAGCCCTTACCGGCCAATAAAAATTAATGCACTTGCGACAAAACATGTTCGATGACTTGTGCACATGACTTTATATCATCATTTTAAATTCAGTCATCTATTCCTTTGAGCAAATCTTAGTTAAAAGTTCAATACACCCTACCCCTATTCAGTAATCTGATGGTAAAATATGGTTTTGAATTTGCTACTTTCTCTTGGAGCGGTGGCTCAGTGGTCATAACGTTCAACTTTTGATCACTAATTTGCAAGTTAGGTTTCCTCTCCAGCTACTTCATATGGGACAACTGGGTAGCACTACGAGCTTATAATACACTTGTGGTGATCTAGTTCAAAGCCAAATTCACAAATCTGTTCCTTGTAAATAGGCTCATTATTAAGATTGGTCAAAATTTGAATAATAGTTCCTACTAATCATGTTAACGTTAAATGTTGCTCACTGTCTGTTTCATATCATTAGAGGGTAAAGTGATAAATACCTGTCTGACAATTGATGGTCTCTACTTGTTTATTGCTAATCTTATGACAGGAAAACTAACATGAACTGTGAAATTCCATTCTTCGTAAGTGATAATTACCAAACAACATGGCTCTGATCAATCTCTCAAACGTTGGTTATATATGTATAGCCGTAGATAGATGATATTTCTTCATGTTACAAGTTAATTTATTGTGTTTTTCTCTTGATTCTTTTATCTTTTCACAGGGACCACTATGTGAATAGTGTGCTGTGGAAAACAAAAATATCGTGATCTAAAGAAGTTTATTTTGTCCTTTATCACTTACTACGACTGTGTTAACTTATTAGGATAATTCAATAATCAATGTGTCATATCGTAATCAGAAAAATGATTCCCCTACTGAATGATTATCCATGTTCTTAAAACTTGACAATAGATATTTTCAAATTCAGCATATACAACACATTTCACAAAGTGTCTCATATATATATATATATATATATATATATATATATATATATATATATATATATATATCCCTTTCGTTTTCTATCAGTTTTCTTTTGATCTACTTGTTATTCCTAGAGTAAAATGTATTTCATATTTTTTACAAACTCGTCTATTTGTTTGATAGTGAAAACTAGAAAACTTTCTATTTTATTTTTAAGAAAAAGAGAATAGAATGTTTATTTGCAATTTGATGTTGATAATATGTTCATACACTGCTCTCTCCCCTATCCTTTTCAACTTCACGTCACCTTTATTGATAACAATAGACAAGTGCCTATTCCCCCCTTTATATATATATTCTATTATTTGTTTGTTTATTCTGGTGTGAAGTTGTGTGTTAAGTGTGTACAACCTATACTACTGATTAATTTGTTTTATAAACATGTTTACCAATTTTTTTCTTCTCGAAGGCATTATATGTCCATGTAATATTATGTTTATTATCATTTTGGTATTGCACGTAATTGTGTATGTTCAATTAATATCATTCCATTCATTGATATTTCCTTTCTTGAGAGAATGTCATATTTGTGTTTTGTGTGTATTTATCTTGATTCTATACATTTATTTTAATTTACTCTCTTGTTGTTTATTAAGAGGATTTCAATTTTCTATCAATAATCATGGTTTTCTATTATAGATTTATGTTGATGGTGTTTGGTGTGTATAATTTTGTTGTTGTGTTAACTACTATCATTAGTTATTTATTACACTTCCTTTTATTATTGTTAAAAATTACACAACAGTAATAATGATAATATTTATGTCATAAATTTTTTCCTTTGATTTTTTATTTATTCTTCTGTTGTTGTGTACATTTTACATCTTCAAAAGAAGAAATAATTAAGTCCACTTATTTTTTACCATCTGTACACATTATGTTCATTATCCAATTCATTACTCTTTCTTCCTTTTCACACCACTGTATATTATTCGAATTTATCTCTTTTAAAACAAAAAATATTTTTGTAATATAATTGTTATACTCTTCAGAATTGTAGTTGTTGTTTAATTTTTTTTTGAATGGTAACTATTTTGTTTTGTTCCTATATATTTTGCAGCAAGGCGAGGATAATAGTATTTTATCGGATGAAGAGTTCAACAAAATGTTCATTCTATCCACACATTGATAGTCAATTGATAATATATAGGTTTATTATCAACAGTTCGTTACGATTGCTCATGTTTTCTTAAATACTATGAATAGCTATATTCTTTATTTGTTATTATTTCTAGATTATTTTTTATTCTCTAAAGTGGTCCCTCCTCTTTAATTAGATCCTTTTTTGCGAGTTTGTATGTGTGTGTGTGCCTGTATGCGTGCCAGCGTATATAGTGTCTTTCATTCTTTAGCATCACTAAAAGGAAACTTTATTTACGTGATCATTAGTGCCTGGTTTTTAGAAAGGATAAACTGAACATTTTTATTATTATAAAAAAAGAGAAAGGATGAGACTAACCTGTCCACATGGTTATGATCAATTATTTTTAAAACATTACCATTTATTTGTCATTAACTTGTTCTGTGTATATTTACTTATATAGTGTACACTATCAGTAGGCACAATATCTTTGTAATTGTTATCGATCGGTCTAATACTGATGATCAAATATACTAATACTTAATATTCTTTACTAGTGTAACAAATTCATACTATTGTGTGTCTTTTGTTGTGAAATTAATCTGAATTTATCTTTTGATTTGATTTTTTTTACAATAAACAGCACGTCCTTGTTGATATATATATATATATATATATATATATATATATATATATATATATATATTATCACCTGCTTTTTTCCTAGTCATTCCATCTTCATCAGCGGTTACCAAGTGTCTCTTCTATTTTCTTACTTATAGTACTTATTAATAACATCGATGTTCTCTGCTTCATGCTGTATAACTTGTAAAATTTTCTCGCACATACTGCTTATTTTTTTACATTGACTTCTTTTTGTCTGTACAATATCCATTGTATAATTTTTTCACCTTGTCTTGAGCGCCTGTTTATGTATCTTGGAACTTTATTGTTCAGTTGAGCTTCTATTTTCTCCGTGAGGATCACTTTGATTGTTTATTGACAAAATGGGAATCACCGGTGTTCCTTAATATGTTTTTTACTCCTATTTCACATAACAGAATTATCAAGGTTATATATATATATATATATATGTGTTTATATTGTATCATATAATATGCCTTGCTTTGTTTAAGTTCCTTTTCTAATGACACTTGTTATTACTACTTTTTTTTTACTGTAATGTACTCGATTCTTTCGCCTATAGAATTCTAAATAAATACAAATAAACAGACTGACAGACAATATCTTTCATGTTGATCATTATCTATCATCTCTGTTCTTTATGTTTTTTAAGGTGGTTATATTTATGTATGCATGTATAAGTATTTCCTTTTTTTTCAAATAGACCTCAAAAAATGTGAAAACGAAAAACGCTTAGAATAAAGAGTTTTTCTAATGATTATACTTTATTTTTTGCTTATGATTTTATGTATTTTTAAGGGTATGATGTTGCTTGATCGTTCGTAGTTTGGTTGACATGTAAAGACTGTGTTTTCTGTTGAACTGTTTTATAGAATACTTCTAATTATTATTGTTGATGTGTTGTGCAACTTGGGAAGATAGTTGTAATCTTTTCAGTACCAAAAGACCAATTCAATATGAACGGGTGTTCATTAGGGTTGCCTACTTTATATAACCTTGTTGTAGATTTTCTTTTAGAGATAATCCTCTCGTTGTCTAACTTTTTGGGGAATTGATTCCTTATTATGGAAACCAATTGTTAGCTTAGAACATGCAGATAACATTGTTCTGTTTGTTAAGGATGCTGACAATATACTGGGTTTTCTGCTCTCCCTGAGTGAAAATGCAAGCAATTTTGAGATGCTTTTCTCTCCCGCTAAATATTTAATGTGACTTTAGAACGAACTAGTCTGCGTCAACGCCTATACGATCTGTTTTACTCGGTGGTTATGAAACGCGGCCTTTAAAAATAGAGAATATTTGTAAACTACTGGTATTCAATCATAAGTATCTTCGAAGTATTGCTCACATATTTTGGGGCCACCAAAAGTGTAATTCTAAAGTCAGATACAGTACTTTATAAAGATGAGATCTGTAGGACGTTGAACAGCAATAGTTGGTTTCTTCAATACTTAATGTACAGCAGGGAATCGTTAGTTTCTTTCTGTCGGCTCCACGTAGCTAAAATGGTACTTATTGGTGGCTACTTCTAACCTGTCTACTATCCGCTGGTGTGGTAGGATACTGTGGAGGCTGATTTGTGGTAGAATTTCTGGAGTTTGCTTACAATGACATGTGACAAATAAGCTGTACGGACAAACGTTAACAAATTCTCTGGATTACTAGAGTTTGGGATATATCTGCCGATCTATCATAGTTTTAGTATTCCTAAAATTCATAAGAATCTATTTTTATTCGCATAAACAGCTACTCGATTCGGGAATTATCTCTGCCGAAAAGTAGGATAAATGTACATGAATTAATCAGGAAACGTTTTTCACCACACAAGTGTAACGACACCATGTAGTCTCATTTGACTTTTTATATACATTGATTCAACAGTCACGAATGAATACCAATCAATCGATCTAGACAGTTTCAAAGGGATGAGAAGGTGACTGATTGGTGACAGATCCGTTTGCAATGTCTCGTATAATGTGAACGAATTGGTGTGAGGAAATTCTATAAACTTAATCGTATTATAGAATATGAGAGTATTGATCTCAATGTTTTGTACTGTTTACTTCTGTCCCCTTTATTTATTAGGGTATGATGAGAGGTTAACGGTTAACTCGGATATCGAACACTGATTTTTTATGTAAAATACCACACTAGATGCTGCAGTTTCAGATGGAAAAAGTATTAGTCAAATGTGATAGTCCTATGTTACTGATACTGACTGGATTTATTTTCTGGTAGGCTTTTTTTACTAGATCTTATGTAGGCCTCCGAATGATAACTTCAATTCTGAGTCTTGAGAATTAAGGAATGCGATAGCATAGATAGAACTCGTTTTTTGGATTGGTGCTCTTTTGCAAAACGTTACACATCGATGATCGGCTTCAATTCGTGTCTGTACTCACCGAAACAAAATGCTGAGAAAGTTGTGATAGAATCTTTTAAGTTTCAAGTACCTAGCGTTTAGATTTGGTAGTCTGACAAGGTAATTTCACAATAGAGTCGGGTAGCGAGATTCCTATTTCTATTATGGTTGACGAATTGTGTGATGATGGAGTACTGTAACTGACTGTCTAAACTGGTACGGGCGATTGAGGATTACTCACAAATTCAGATTTGATACAGCGCGTTCAGGGGATATATGAGATCCTTAGTCACTAACACTGAGTTGTTTTACCTGGTAAAATTACAAACCTAACGATCTTAAAATATATATGCCAATTTAGTGAAATGAAATGCAGTTTGGTAGTTTAGTGGAAATAAGGTTTGAGTTCACTGTACCGTTGAAACTAATGAATATCGATCTCCAAGTAACGTCACTTATCAGACTTCCACGAAACACCTTTCATGCCTATCATCCTTCCTAGCCCCAAACAGGCGTAGGAAGATGTTTGAATACAGTCATTCCCCTATTTTGATAGCACATACCGGAATCAAATTTGAAAATAGACACAGAATATAGGCCTTCCACTTTGTCCTGTGTTTGTATTGAATATCTGATTTTGTTCACCAACCAAGTGTTCTGCATTTTACTGATTCAGTCAGATGTTGAAATGCTTATACCGCCCTAGAAGTGTATGGTAGGTTCGCAAGTTTGATTCCTGTAAAAAAAACCTGTTGGGTAATATTTGAGGACACCTATGACATGTATGCCTGAAATAAATCAATACCAGTGCCATAGATCCTCTCTTATGAACCTATAGGCCCAAAATACTAACTAGACATACCAGCCCAGTATTCTATCTTTTTCACGTACATGCGTTCTCTTTGCCAAATTATGCTTTGTAACTGTCTGTCACACTATTATCTTCTGAGTTTTAAACCAATAAAATTGTACTTTACAAAAGTGGGTAGACATTCAGGTCAACGAGTTCAACTATGATGAAAGTCTGTAACCTGCATTGATATATACTTTAATCATTACTGAGACCAGCTTTACCGTAAAACCTTCACGTTGCAGGGAAGGCAAATTTATGCTCGATTGGTTTACCTTGTTGTGTACTTCACTGGTGTGCATTTTCTGACCTTCAAGCTTAATTAAATAATCTAAAAATATAGACCATATCTTAATTCTACGAATCCATCATTAAAAATCTAGTATCCTTAGTATTTTCTCGAAGTAATACCTCAACATGTTTTTCAAGGTATAGGATGATTATTAATAAAATACCCCTAGACATTACTTATTTTCTTAACTGAAATTTGCCAACTACTACGATACCATTGAAGCTAACAAGTCACCTCTTTCTTAACATGTCATATCTTTCCAGATTAGACATAAACCAGTTTCCTTTTCATAATAATTACATTAAGTTCGCTCTGATATGTTTTGTCTCGGAGAAAACTTGACGGCTAATCAACTTCCTTTTATTGTTAAGTTGTTGGCAGAAATACTCCAACTTACCACGAGTACCAAGTATTATCTATAAGTTGCTTTATCATTGTTACCTACGATGAAAAGCTAGATATGGTTCAAACACAACAAATGAGGTCGAAGAATGGATTCTTAAATTAAAATAAAACCAAGCTTTAGAGGCTTATGGAAAATGTACGCAACTCTCTTAGTGGGACAAATTCTAACCAATATCTCCAGTTGTATGTTAGCTCTACTGCTGCTTAGGAATCCGATGCTAGGACGAAACGGCCGTCCGGTAGTCCTTCCAGGTTTTCAATGGGGGTCTAGCTAAGACCACTTCGTAATTTAAACTAGGAAATAGGAACGTTCACTTCAGAGTTTCTACTTTGTTCATCTGTTTTCCCTACTTTGTGGCAACCGAATGTTTACTATTCGTGTGTGTGGTAACCAGACTGGCATCAGACAACTAGGCTTCTCTAAAAAGGCCGGAACGGGATGGTGACTACTCGTGAACTTTTCATTAGTTTATGCAGCTGCTGTTGCGGTTAGGATCAACAACGTCTTTGAAGAATTTTATGTACTGGTTGTTTGAGACACTAGATTGAAAAAACAGATTTTCCTGTATTCTCGAGTTTCCGTTGTCTAGCTACTTTTGTCTGTATTTGCTCTCTTCAGTGCGACCGGAGAAATATATGAGAAATTGAAACAATACATTTACATATGGCTCTGTGTTTTTGCCTGTTTGTTTCCATGCCCAAACTGCGTGGTTTACACTGCTCTCTGTGGTTTAGGATCAGAGATTTTGACCTGATTTACCACGAGGTATTCAAAGTTTTAAATAATCCAAATATGCTCCAGTTGTTTTAGTTTATAGTATGGTTAGTTGACTTGTCTAGCGTATCTAATTCTTCCAATGCTATATTTCAATAAGTCTGTGGGGGTTTGTGAGTCTAAATACTTCTGCTACATCATCCGCTAGACTATTTAAAGTCAAAAAGTGGAGATAAAGATGTATTTTTCTGAGTACGTTGACAGGAGTACACTATCCGAGTGAAATCATCCATAGTACTAAGTCAAACATTCATTTGCAAAGTTACTGTTTAATATTTAAGATGTAAATACAACTTATTTCTGTTCGTCAACTTCAGGTATCATGTTTGGTCCACCAATTAAACTACTGACTAAATCAATATAGATCTTGGATTTTAGCTTTTCGTCTGTCAATATTTCATATTGAAAAGTATGTACCTAATTAAAAACTATGATATATTTCAATATACGATCATTTAGAAAGATATCAGAATCGTTCTACTTGACCCACATTGTCTAATGATATTGAAGTGTTTTCTTTTCAGTGAACAATATGAAGCAAATGTATACATTAGCTACAAGAAGCATCTGTTTTGTTTAATTCTACTTCGAATAATGCGAACTACATACAAGACGGTGGTTTGTACGCTTGCTTTGTAGAGTATTCGCATTTTAGAAAAGAAAGAGATGTGTTAATTAACTTGCAAATTATATAACCTTTATATTTACTCATGCATTATATTGCTCTTCTCGTAGTCTTTCGCTGAGTACTAGACATAATTTCAAGATTTGTAAGTGATATCTTATGTTGTATACCGTGCAAAACCAGATAGTACTCATCTTCAATTACCTTCAGAGTTTTACCTGATTAGTATTTGTAGTTCTTAATGAGTTAACTACTTAGAATATCAAATCAAAATTTTTTATTTGCCAGATATTTAACACTTTATTAGTCTCAGTCATAAATTACCATCCACTTAATTGATTGTTGTAACCATTTGTTAACAACTTCGGGTGACATGGCTTACGATCGTTAGCAGGTCCATTCAGTTTTCATCTTCCCTTAGAACCTGAGTTCAGAGATCTTATGTCTGTTTTTTTTTTGTTTTAGGATAGCTAATCTTTTTTACTAGAGTTGACACTGTTACTACTTATACTACTCTGAAATTTGTCTTGATACTTTTGTACCTCTGTGCCTACGTAGCATGGCCACTTGGACTGATACGTATGTGCCATATTCTATGTTCCACATGACTGACTGACTGTACCATAAACAGACGTTCAATTTTCTAATAACACTTCACTGTTCGATTAGAATACGGTGAAATGGCGATGTCATATTTCAACTTTTACATTGTTCACAGTTAACCCATTTCTGCTATCAGTCCTTGTGTAAAAGTCGAATAAGTAGATTTAGATAAAGATTATAAATTTTGTGTTGCACCAATTTCTAATGAGTTGCATTTACACAGAAGAAAGTCCGAAAATCTTTCAAAATTGCCTCTTCATCAACGATACAACTTTAATGACAACCGTTGTGGTGGAAATATATCTCTACTTTCCTTTCCTTTAAATGTTAAACTGAGTGTTATTCCATTCACTTTGTATTCCTATTTTATTTATTGTTTTGGAACTATCTGGTATTGATATTTTCACTATTTTGCTTTCCCTTTTTTAATTTTCTCTTTGTGCTGATTTATAATTTGAGGGATATACATTTGTTCTAGGTCATACATTGCTTATGAACAATTGAAGTAAAACGGTAACAGCGATATTTCTTTTCTGAATAATAATCTCTATTATAAAGATGATTAATGCCTGGCAGGAATGTTTATGAAACATGGTCAAGCATAGGTAGGCTATATGTTACGTTTATCATGCTATTACTTTAACGTTCGTTAGGCGGCATAATAGTGCGCTAAAAAACTATAAAATCTCGAATCGCGTCCTATTATCAATTCATAAAATTGTTGGTCACTAAGTAAGTGCCTGTTCCCTGTTCTGTCTGCGAAACAATTATAATGAGTGGTCGAACGATTTTTTGTCATACTGTTGAAGGCCGGATGAATTAGCCCAAACGCACCCACTGTTTTTCGTTTTGATCTTAGATATTGCATTGTTGGATAAATTACAGTCTAATTTTACTTTTTCCATCGATTCCTCACCAATATTTTTTCGCTGGTTAATCGCTCTTTTTTTCCTGAAATAAATATAATTTGAAGGAACATCCACTGGTGTTGATCTAGCCTCTTCATTCAATGCTTTACTATTGATCGGTTATTTGTAAGGCTTCGGGATTATCATTCAATTGATTGAAAAACATTTTATGCCTCATTTTGATAAATAATAATGATCCCTATTTTAGCTAGTTTCCTTACTAATATGCTCGTTTCGTTTATTTTTTATTTCTCCATATTTTTAGTTACAGCTTTATCAAAATGGTCTCGGAATTCTTTGCACCTAGGTGTATCGTCCCTGAAAAATCAGAAGTCCAGAGAAATCTATTCTCTTATTCTCCAGAAATAGTGAGACTTAAGAACGTAATATATGAAGCTTATAACTCTAAATGGGGTACACGATTTCTAGTTTTGTTACGTGGTGTCCCAGGTAGCGGAAAATCTACATTAGCAAGGTAATTTCTATTACGCTAGTTTTTTCTGATATTTGTTATCTATAACTTACTTATGTCTGTTCCTCCTTCTGGAAGAACATAAGCCGCCCACAAACACTCCCAATGCAACTCTGTCCTGGGCAATCATTTCTAGTTACTACTCATCCTTTTCATGTCTGTTTCCAACTCCCGATTCAGTGTGTTCATTCGTCTTCCCTTTTACCGTCTCCCTTCAGGATTCCGAGTTAGGGCTTGCCTCATGATGCAGCTAGGTGATTTCCGAAATGTATGTCCCATCCACCTGCAAAGTCCTTTCTAATTTCCTCTTCAAGTGGAAGCTGGTTTGTTCTCTCCCACAGTAGACTGTTGCTTATGGTATCTGGCCAACGAACATGGAGTATCTTGAATCGGCAATTGTTTGTTAATACTTGTACATGTTTGATGATGGTTGTGTTAGTTCCGGAAGTTTGAGCTCCTTACAGTAGAACTGTCTTGACGTTCGTATTGTAGATTGTGAGTTTGATATTGTTTGAGAGTTGTTTTGAGATGCAAATGTTCTTGAACTGTAGGGATGTTGTTCTTGCTGTGGCAATCCTTGCCTTTACGTCTGTATCAGATCCTCCTTGTTGATCGATTATGCTGAGTAGGTGGTACGTGAAACTTTCCACCAATTGTGATTGTGTTGGTTTCCTGTGTGTTGTATTTGAGGATGTTGCTTTTTCGCCTGTGTTTGTTGAGGTCTACTGATGCGGAGGCTTCTGCTACACTAGTTGTCTTCACTTGCATTTGTTCGCGAGTATGAAGTAGAAGAACCAGGTCATCGTCAAAGTTTAAATCATCTAGTTGCACCCAATCTGTCGATTGTATTTCGTGTTTACCGTCAGACATCGTAGTTTTCATAATCCAATCAACCATCATAAGAAAGATGATGGGGCAGAGTAGGTATACTTGTCTGACTTCGACCCTTACTTACAATGCACCTATCAGCTGTCCTTCATGCACCACTTTGCTCCTTGGACCGTTGTATGGATTCCGGAAATTTTAACGTCCTTCTCAGGTGCACAATAGTGTCGAGTATTATTCCACGAAGTTCTCCTATCCACAATGTTAAATGCTTTCTTATAATCAATGAAGTTGGTGTGCAGTGACGAGTTCCACTTCACTGATTATTCAACGATGATCCATTGTGTTGCGATTTGATCTGTGCACGACTGATACTTACGGAATCCAGTTTATTGATCTCGAGGTTGGGAGTCTACCAAGTCCTTCGTCCGGTTCAGTAACATTGTTTAAAACGTTTCCTGGTACTGACAATAATGTGATGCCTTTTTAGTTATCACATTTGCTCAGATCTTGTTTCTTGGGTATCTCGTAGAGGTGTTCTTCTTTCCAGTCTGTCTGTTGGTATTGTTCCTCCTCCCACATTTTCCTGTGTAGAAGGTGTGACATTTTTGAGTTACCTCTGTCTTAATTGAATGCGTTAGCCTATATATTTTCTGGTCCTACTGCTTTTCTCAATTTTGATTTGTCTGAGGGCCACTCTGGTTTCGTAGATTTTTGTTCGTTCGACATATCTAAAAATGTCTGTGTGTGTTGCTTCGATGTCTGGTGGATTCAATGGAGCTGGTCTATCCAAGAGTTCCTTAGAGTGTTCCACCCATCTCTTCCTCTGTCCTTGAATTTCAGTGATTGTCTTGCTTTTTCTGTCCTTGACTGGTCTCTCTCTGGTTTGCTATATTTCCCTGTCAGTTTCTTCGTTGCGTCATATAGTTGTATCATACTTCCTTCTCTTGAAGCTTTTTCTGCGTCGTTGCTAGCTCTCCTACTTATTTCTGCTTTTCGCCCCCAATGCTCCTCTTAACTTGGTTGTTTGCTTCTGTGCATTCATCTTTTACCTTGACGTTCTCTGTCCTTGTTAAACTGCTGTTTTTTGTTCTTCCTTTCTTGAATTTGTCCAGGATTTCCACAGCGCTCCATGCATTATGATAAAACTTTTTGAGGCCCAGAACCTCGTAACACGTTAAAGATAATACTTCTTTGATCCCTTTCCAGTTGTCCCCCACAAGTTTCTTCTCCCAGTACATCTAGTAATGGTTGGGACCTGTTGTTGAGTTTTCTTGAATTGGTTACGTTTTTGAATATGTCGAAGGAAATCTGTATTGGACCTTTGTAATGCTGTTTGTCCAGTGTTTGTTTAGCCTCAGTTTCCATCTTGGCCACAATCAGGTGGTGATCTGAAGCTATGTCAGCTCCTCTCCTAGTTCTCATGTCTTCCATTGACCTTTTGAATTTTTATTGATACAAATAAGATCTATCTGTTTCTCCGAGGTGTTATCCTGTGAGACCCACGTAGCTTCTTGTATGCGTTTGTGTGGGAATATTGTGCCACCTATAAAAAAATTGTTGAGTGCACATAGATTTGCAAATGTCTATTCATTCTCGTTCCCTTCTCCCAGTCCATGTTGCGCCATGATGTCTTTGTTACCGTTGTTGTCCATCCCGACTTTGACGTTTAGCTCTCCCATCAGGATGGTCAGGTCCTTTCCTGGGCACTTCTCTATGATTGACTGCAGCCTCCTATAGAACTGATCTTTATTGTCGTCGTTGCTATCGTTGGTGAGTGCGTAACATTTGATAACATTCATTGAGATCCGCTTTTTCTTATTAAAAGATACTTTGATGATTCTGGATCCATGAGATTCGCATCCTATAAGTGCATTTCGTGTTTTTTGGACAGCATCAGAACTCCGTGAGTGTGTAGCATTTTCTTCTTCGTGACCGGAGTACAGCAAAATTTCTCCTGAATCTATCCTTTGCTGTCCAGCTTGTGTCCAATGGGTTTCACTTATTTCGAGCACTATCAAGTTGTATCCCCTCATTTCCGTTGCTATTTGACTAGTCCCCCGGTCTCCCAAATTTTCCGGACGTTCCATGTACCTATAAAAATTGTTGCTCTGGTTGTTAGAATGGGCATCAGCCTCGCGGCTTCCGAAAGAACTCGGCTTTCATCATGAGGTGTCATAATTCTTCGTCCAACTCCCAGAGCAGAGTTTAAATCGTTTAATTTGGTTGGCGTTTTTTAGCAAGGTTGTTTTCTACGGGATGGAGTTGCCAACCCTATGCCCGACCATGCTCTTTTGTGTGGGCTTGGGACCAGCAGTAACTGTAGGACAGCTAAAGGCGGACTTAGATTATAGACGTAGGTACATAATTATTTTATCTATTAGTGATTTAGGCAGACAAGTAACAACATAAATCTCTCAAGACAGTTTTCAGTGCAAGTTATTCATTTATGATACAAAAACATTGCGCAATTCCAAAGCTACATCATGTGAATTTTACTTCGCTAATTTTCCACATATGATTTTGATATCCCTGAACATGAGTCTGTAGAATTCTTCCAATTTCGCTTTCTATTGGTTTGTTCAAGGTTATCGTTTGCGTCGACACCCAATCACAGTGCAAATTTCTCATCCCCCTGTGTTAATCAGCCTGAATGCCGTATATGTCGTGGTTAATCATCTGATGTAAAGGATGACATTAGTCGAAATGTGTTTTTTTTAATGGAATGATCTTGTCTATCATTTGATTTTCTTCGTTATAATAGAAATTTCTTTAGGTTTTCATGCTGCGATGGATTAAGGTGGGCGGATGTTTATTGTTAAGCTAGTTGCTGTAGCTATTTGTCAACACTCATTTTTTTAAAAGCTCGATATATGTTACAGTAGATTTTAATTGATTCTTCCGGTAGACAAATTCTATTTTTGAATGGGATAAAGAATTTCTATACTATTCCTTATCTATTGGATCAGCGGCTTATATAATTACAGATCTAGTTATACTACTCAACATGATACTGTTTGTAGATAAATCCTGTCGAAACTTTATTTTTGTGAACTGAACAAAGTGATTTTCTAACTTTCAAACAAGATACCCCCATAGATATCATGAATACAATAATTTTGTTTTCTCAACTTCTTATCCAAGTGAATTTTAAGTGTTTCAGGGAGGCTTTACAACTGTTGGCTTTCGTATGCATAAAACCGTCACAAATTAGTTATGTATATTACTACTGTATTGAGATATCTCTGAAGTATTGACCTTTTCTATTACTCACATGCTTCTCTATGATTTGGTCGTTGCCAGAGACGTCTCGGGAGTTTTATGACTTCCGTCTCGTAATGAAAAATTTAATAAATAACCTACCTATCCGTCTTTTTCCCATAAAAATATACTCCATTTAAATGATGATATTGCCTTAAAGTAACACTTGGGTATTCATTTTTACTATACCACTTAAACCCTGAACATGTGTGCAGATTTTGAGGAACAGTTGTTGATAACAGCTAGCAGTCTCCTAGCGAAATTTCATCGGTGCTATACATTTACTCATCATAGGTTGTTGATATGGTCAGTTTGCAATGAGTGTACTTGGTTATTTACACTGGTTGATCAATGAATAGTGAATGTCGTTGTATTTGTCTAATCTTCAGTTCCTGCTGGATTCTTTTAATCAAATTGAAATGTTCTCACGAATCTAAATGACTCGATGTCGTATGCACTGCGTTCGAATGTTATTTTAATGGAAACAGTCAGTAGGAATTGCTGAATAAGGACGAGATAAGAATAGCTTAGTGGTAACGTCCTTTGTTGTAACAGTGAGGAGTTCAGTGTAGAGTTATGTGAAGATTCTCCTCAAGATCATAAATAAGCCATTCCGACAAGTTTCTTAGTTCAGTGTCTGATGACTGCCTCCAACCATGTAACAACTTATTCTTTTCTGTGCTTAATACAATTTGACGCTCACCATGCAATTGTGATTATCACTAGTGTCTTGAAATTCCTGCTGAAGGTATATATATACGAAAAGTCAGAAAATCTCATTTTTCTACTCATTGGGATATTACAAATATATTATTTATTTATAATGTACACTGTTAATACTCTGCACAACCTCAGTTGTATTTTGACTCAAATTTTATCCATTTATGAATTGTTATCGAATTCTTTTATGAAATTTCAGATTTCTCGTTGATAAACTTGATCAGCGTAATTTTCTAATAGCTTCAAATGATGATTATTTTTATGATGAAGTTGAAAAGACTCATAAATATAATAATACCGAATTGAATGAAGCAATAGCTGCTTGTAAGCAGAAAGGTAATAATTACTTTGTATGTGTATGTGTGTGTGACTTATTGTTCCCTATTGTGTGTGAATTCATTCTATGGAAGAGTTCAGAGTGTTTATTGAATTTTTTTTAACCATTTATGTCTGTTTAGACCATGACTGAATATCTTATGTATTTTGATCTGAGAAGATAAATGGCATCTCTCTTACAGTGTTTGTATTACTAATTCTACGAAATTTACATAAAACTTATTCGTTTAGTAATCATTAGAGAAGTCAATTGCTCTACTCTTATGACAGATTTTCTTCATTAAAGACAAAATAACAGTTTGGTTAACAATCGATACAAGGTCAGTTATGGCTACCATTCAATCCAGGACTCGCTTTCGGTTTTGTTTCTCACATGTAACTATCTACTACTTGTTCCGTTGTAAATTAATTTAACTCATGTCATTTAATGTATATTTACTCTGTTGTTGTGTTAGTGTGGCTGATAGGTATGGATTTTTATTTACTACTGGTTAAATAATTGAATATGAAAATGGAACGCTTTATATTTCAGGTCATGACATTGAACTTCATGTAGTCGCGTTTGGAACTGCGTAATGCTTAAATTACAAGCGTAATCAATACTGAGGACAGGAGGGGGGTTGAGATACCAATAAATGATGTAAAATAGAAACAAAATATAGACATTGATATGATTGGTCATTGCAATACAGACATACGTGTGTATAACTTGGACTTGAAATAATTTTCAGCGAGCGTTATGATCAGCCTGTTTAAATGTGTGATGTTGATTTCAGATATTAAATGTCTGAAACAACCTTGCCATTTTGTAAATTGTCAAGTTCACTATTTATTTTCTAGTCAGGTATTGGGTAATCTTCGTGGATAAACTAATAGTATTAGTAGTAGTGATGGCGGCGGGCTTGTTTAATACCCTAGCTTAGTTTAAAGCATATCCTATTTTTCAAGGGGTTTTATGGAGATTAGTTTAATTTGTAGGCCGTATTCGTCACATTTGTTTTATTTGGAGCAACATTAAGAACCAGGGAGCACTGAACAACTGTTTCGTCCCAGCATGGAACTCAGCGGTGCGTACCCACGACCCCGCACGCGGGGTTCGAACCTAGGGCGTTCGATCTCGCACGAACACCTAACCTCTGGACCATTTACCTGGTATCCAATGGTGTTAATGTCTAACTCCAATCAATCCACGTTATTGAGCGACTAAATTCCATTGTCTTCGGTGGTAACTAACTTACCCGACTCATCTGAACTCCAGTGGTCACGTCCTAGTATTACGGGACTCCGCAAGACCTGAAGGTCCGGTATTCAGTCCGTGGTGGTATCATGAGTGCACTATACGGAAGAGTAATGCTACAATGAATCAGGTATCTATTGCTTTCTGGTTTTCAATGGTACTCGAACCAAGATTAGTCTGTGACTAGTACAAACTTTAGACTAGCCATAATTATCAAATTCACTCTATATATTTCTTAGAAAATATAAAATTTTTAAACCTCGGATAAAATTTTGCATGAAGTTCACATTGCCATATTCAATAATACCGCGAGAAAGAGAAAAACCATCGAGGAAATTATAAGTAGACTGAAAATAATTTTTCCATGGATTCCATGTAGTAGTTAGTAATTCGGTAGATTTGTGTCATACCTTATCCTGCTTGGTCACTTTTATGAACTCAACTTCTGTATGCCCATTTGACAAGACTACCATATTATTGAATTCATCAATAATGAATCTGTTTACATCAGTGACACTAATAACTTTCTGTTTGCTAGTATCGCTATCAAGTGTTGGTTAGCACTGAACACAAATCGAATGATAAAAAATCATTGGAACTTAGGAATAATTGGAAGAGAGCTCTGTATATTTTGTTATAATTATAATACAATAATGTTATGGCCTAAGATTTATTCGGTTGAGCCTATGGTAATTTCTAATTACAATTGATTGAGATCATTCTAATACGTAAGGGATCGAATGTGACAAATTCTGTACGCGATGCTCCAAATGATGGAATCGAAGGTTGATGGGAGTAGTGTATAAAATACTTGTTAACAATGAATATAAATCTGAAGTAGAACAATTCTGTAAAAATATAGCAACAACGCATGACTTCAGGATACAGGAAAATCCAAAAACCAACTGATAATCACCAATATGAAAACACCAGAAATTGTACGAAAATATAATTTCGGAAAAAATGTTTCTTTAGTTTCATTACAGGAAAGAAATTTACATTTATCGACAAAACTAGATTATTTGAAATCTTCCTAACAAATCAGAAGACAAGAAAACAAACTTAGAACATAGGATATTAAATATATTTGTATATCTCTAAACGACTGGGCGGAAATAATGTTTTAATCATCTCACTATTTAATCTGGTTTAAGTTTGTTTTTCAGTGAAATCATAAAACGATTGAGAAAATGGTTTCATTTTTCTAGCTTAAGTGAATTATCTTTATTAGTGTATAAGTGTGTGTGTGAACTCCCTCTTGACCTGGGTGGGTTCACTTGACTAGGTTTCATTGTCAAATCTAAAGAAAAAGTCATCAACGCCTTTTTTTTTCAATACCAGTTTGTCTAAAACGAGAATGAAAGCTGCATAATTAGACTGTACAATTCCGAAAACCAGTGACTACAAGTGACTGAATATATTGTTGTTGAAATAATTTTATTCACTATATCACTTTATCAGTGTTTTATCTTTCAATTTCACTTCAAAGTAATTAACTTATCCAGGTAATTAATCGGTATAGGGTTGTGGAGATTGTTGAGTTTTGATCGCGATCATGAATCGATCAACGTTAGACCACCATTGAAAACCTTGGGGCACCGGACGGCCGTTTCATCTTAAATGGGACTCCTCCGCAGTGTGCATCCTCGATCCCGCACGCGGAATTCGAACCCAGGGCCTTCGGTTTCGGTTAGTGGTTAAGCGTTCGGGCGCAAGACAAAGGTCCTAGGTTCGAGTCTGGTGTCCGGGTTTGTGGATGTACACTAATGCGGATTTCCATACTACGACGAAACAGCCCTCCAGTGCTTCCAGGTTATTCAGGTAATATAAAATAGTATTAGTGTTGTGTGTGCTACTCATGTCGACAAACAAGAAGATCGAGTTGAAGAGAACAGAAGGGAATTGTGAACTAGAAGAATCATGCAGAGCGTGACTTTAAAATGACGGGAATTCGCTGTATGGTCCTCATATTTTACCAAGATATTCTGTAATTTTGTATTAAAATACACTGGTTTTCTTTACCTGCGTTCTCGTTCATTACATTAATTGTCAGGGTTTATTCTCAGTTTCATTTCCTAGATAAATCAAGATTATTACTATTTATATTTATATTTAATATTGGGCATAATTTTAAATACTTTCATCAGGTTTCTTTGTACTGTTTTATTTTTAACAAGCATTATTGTAGCCTATTTGGAAGTTATATTTGATTACAGCAAAAATTAATAAATTTTCTGTTTGATAAATCTACTCTCTATATTGTTTGTTCGACTTTGCTTAGTTGTGTTTATTACAATCGTGATAAGCGGGTTAAAGGCATAGATAGCAATTATTCAGTAGAATTTGATAAACATTTTTTTAACAAGATGATAATTCATTCTGAAATTGTTTCATTATTCAACTAGATCTTCAAGTTTCACTTTATCGTTAAATGTTATGAAGTAAGTCGAAGATGAAGTATTCGATAATCAATTTATCGATTAAATGAATCCCCGGGTAGTCTGTTTAGTTCTAAATATCATAATGATGATCTATTGATTTTGCTAAAAAAGTGAATATTCATGATTCTTTAATTTGCTTAATGCGTAATAACTATTGTTGAATGATTAACATCGGATAATTGTGTTGTAATCGACTATATCATATTGTTATATTTGACAAATGACAAGATAAGTTACAATCTAAAATGTTTTAATTTATATTCCTCTCTCTCTCTCTGTGCAGTATGTGAAGTGACTCATTGGGAAGTTTCATTCACTGAGTGATGAAAATAAGTAGCGTAAGCTGATCATCTCGCTAATTTGTAGTGGATAAATAAACAATATGAACCTATCCATTCAATTACAAGATATAATCATCTCAAAGTTTATCGGTTAAAAGAGGTCTTTGTTAGAACAGAACCACTACTGTCCTCTCAGTTAGTTGTTGTTCGAATAACATTTTTGATGCAGAACACTCAGAAACATGCTTACTGTGTTACATACGTAAACTTATTATTGCTTTCTGTTTGAATAACTTTGATAAGTGCTCTACATGTTATGAAGTGAGAGGTATTTTATTTACATTATTTTACACAGTTTGGTCATCTATGCATAGTGGAGTGTTAGCGATCATCGTGGATAACTGCAATCTTACACGACTAGAAATGGATCCGTTCATTCGCGAAGTAAGTAATCTAGCCATAAGAATTATTAAATATGTTATCATCCTAATAATTTGACGATTTCTGCATTCATGAAATTGTTGGATTTTTTCTTGTTATCTGAGCCTACATTACTGTAAGACTTATACTGCTAATTTTAGATATTGTTACAAGGCGACATCAATATCTCTAGCTCTGTATTCTTTAGAATTGAGAAAACAGTATGTAAGAATTGCACGTTTCAAAAGACTTGATTATTCTCTACTTTAAATTGTATTTTTCCGTTTTTTTTTCTTTCAGTGAATAGATTTTAATAAAAACTAACCAAGAAACGTAGTTTCAACGAAATCTTTCCGTAATCATAAACATTTTATTAATTACTAGTAGAAAATATTTTGACAACATTCATATGTGTATGCTTGGCTGACTGTGTTCACAGAGTATTTTCTGTTAGTACGCATTAATTCTGAGTAATGAGTAATTATCATTACTAAAAGGTCCATATCAGTCTAATCATATGCCTGGTCTGAATTTCATTTTCCAAAAAAAAATTGGCAGTCTATATTGTGATTGGTTGATTTCAAAACTAATCACTGATTGGTTCGTTTTGATTGATTGTGCTCTAATCGATTTAGATTGAAGTCTCTTCTAGTTTTTCTGTACTATTTGAGAATGGCTTAAATTGTGTTAGTAGCAGTTTATAATATGTCAATCCTTCTCCAACTATTTGTGAAATTAGATAGATCAGAATCATTGAGTTGTACGCGTGTATTGAATTTACCGTCTGTCCGTACTCTAATGTGAGTAGCATCTTAATGAGTGGATATGCATACTTTGGCTACATGTCGGATAACTACACTCCCTAATGTCCATCAATGGATGTTTTCACTTGTATACTTGATTAAATCCGTCATGTTAGTTACTAAAATAAGCTTTTTCAGTAAACAGAAAACAAAACAACATAGAATTATGTTAGTAATACTGAATCGATTTTGACAATACCATTAAGTGTTCACCTCATAAATAAGATTCTATTGAGAATATCGATGATCGAATTACATCATTTTGTAGAATTTGTGGGACTTAATTAATGTATCTAGCTCTTTGACTAAATTTTCAGCTCAAACTTATGGAATACTGTAAATATTATAAACGTAAAACTTCAGATTATAATATAAAAATAGGCTATTTAAGGAAATAATTATTGGTTTCCTGATACGATTTATAAAATGTTGGCAATAAATGTAGAGGCGAATTTTTTCGGTCTCCTGGCTTTTTGTCTATAAAATCATCTAAAACATCGTGTCACGGGGATCGGCCGATTGCTTTTTGGTTAAAATAGATTAGGAGATCTGGGTAGAAGCACATATGCAACGTTTTCGTAACAAAAACAACCATGCTGTACATATCCGCTCAAAGTTTTCTAGACATTCATGATACTGAAAATGCCGTTTACATGGTACGCAAGCTTTTTTCATTGAATATTCCGTACAAACTAAAGATAATCTTCATCGTAAGCTGGCATCATCTGCAGAGGCGTTAGAAACGATGTTGAGAGTTATCTCTAAATCTGAAAAAACCTGTACAAACTAATTAGAAACCCAGTACTCTCCTTTGACCTCTTCATTATGAAGATCCTGAAAGTTGAGGTCTTTAGAAGCAATCGAGTTTAAAGTGAGACAGATTTTCACTGATGGGATCAGATAATTATTATCACGAAGCGACTGGGTTTGTAGAATTTAAACCGATGGACTCCATAGTGTCTGATTATTGTCGTGCTTGTTTGAAGATGTGACTGTATTTGAATCCGGTTCTATGTATTGTCATCGGTGCATACTGGAGAGATGTCTTTGATAAGAACGAAATAATGAAGATAAAGTAATGTGATTCATTAACTTCATAAAGATCCTATGTTCCTGTCTTTGAATCACATTGTTCATGTTCATATATGTGCCTAGTCCTATGTTGTAGCTGACTGACTGTAAAGCCTGGTGACACTACCTGATTTCACAGTTTGAAGGTGTTTTAACCATAAGAGCAGAAGGTCTTCACACCATGTATGTTTCTCAATGTCTCATTTGTTGGTGTCTGTTCATGGTGGAAACTATTTTTGAATCAATTCTGTTTAGACAATTTCTATCTGTAAAACATCTCTTCGTAAATACAAGGTCTACGGTTGTTCTAAGAAAGTTGAGTTCAGAAAACTGAATGAATCAAAGTATCATGTGTTGCATATATATGTACACTTGTGAAAAGCTAATGATTTGTGATCAAAATGTAGTTTCATTTGTTTCATTACTATTGTCAGATGTGATTATCAAAAATTGATTGTATAATAAGGCGGTATCTTGACATACGATAGAGCCTAGTTTGTGGTTTTGTAAATATATTACAATAGCTTTAAACTGATAACTATGTATCCTACAATAAAGTGGGTTTCATTTTCTGCAAAGTTGTATATGTATTTCAAGCAGTAGGAATTGTTGATTACCTCTGTTATTCTAAAAATAACATGAAAAGTGGACTAATTTAGCATGCCATTTAGTTCATTGACCACCTTTGTATAGGCGGTAAACAGTCCTTGAGGATATATTCAGTTGTGAGTAATGCGCATAATTTTGCATGGTGCATATTCCAATGGTTATATTTAGGCAGTATTCAGTATTTTTATGCCCTTTAGTAAAGCCTTGAACTATGTAGAGCGATCACTTTTGTCACAATATCACCAACGATAACATAGCCAATCAGTAGCACAAACTGCTACACGATTTCTAACAGTCTATTTTAAAGAACGGATGTACGCTCCCACCGCTCTCGTAAAACTACGCTTAACTTCGGCGATACGAATTCCATATATTTGTGAGCATTACTTAAAAGTAAAATAGGTAATCTGGATTCCCTCACATAATAAGACCACATCTTACAGATTCTCTACACGATCAACATACACTTTCTTCTGAGTTGCCCCTAAAACATCATTTAGTTGAAATAATTAGATTGAACAATCCTATTTAACATCATTTCTAGTTTGTAACCATCTAAGAAGAGAGGTGGTTGAAGCGTATAGCTGCTTGAACCAACATAATTTGTGTTTGTCTTGCTGCAGTTACCAACTGCAACCCAGAAATTATTAGTTGGTTATCAACTAGACTATCGTTTCAATAATCAGTTCTTGTGTTTATCAGGACTATTTATTCCTCGCTATTCACTCGCTTATGTGGTTTGTGTTGGAGGAGTCCTGGAAATATCCCCCGCAATAGTCCCTAGAGGCCCAGAAACGCCAGGAAACGTTTAGTTCAATCAGCGTTAAATCTAGTCATTCAAGGAACATCTAAGAAATGCATAATCACGTGCCATGGTTTTGAATGCTTATTTACTTGTACTGCCACTATATTTAATATGGTCCCAGAAATTCCCGGAAGATTGAGGTCATGTGTAATCTTTGAAATACCCTCGTCTTTCTTTACATAAACTGACCTTGGAGTAAAGCTTTTACTCGCAATTCGCGCCTCTTTAATGTCCTAGGTGACGTATGAGAGTAGTTAGGGATATCGGAACCAGCTAGAAAAAGTTTTAATGTGTCGGTAACAAGATTTATCAGTTAGCAGACTGCGTCAACGTACATTTGTACAGAGCTTTACATGTATCATAACTGACTGTGAGACTCGAGACGTTTCTCGGTTTATATATTGAGCTCTTTATGAAGAGATCTTATTTTATTATTTTTAACTACACCATAGTATTCAGTCTTCTGTTTACGTATCTTCGAACAACAATCTATGGAACATCCTTGTTAATGAGAGGTGTATCTGACAAACATTACTGTAATAACTATCCCTTTTGAGGTTGAACATAACATTGCTACAGTATTTGGAAAACCCTTTATGTATATATTGTTATCCTATTTGCTTTTAAACGGGGTTTTGATACGATTAAATATTATTTGTTATTTGTTGTTTAACCTTAGTCATTGATTCTGAATATTTACTTTTGTACTGCTTTTCGACAGATATCTATTTAATTTTATCCATTACTGATGAAAAATTAATGTTATCTTTCGTTTGCACTGCTATATGTTATCTTCATTATCCAATTCATATTGAATTTTAGTTCAGTTTTATTCTTTTCTTTCTATTGACCTTCATTTTACATTTTACCAACCGATAGACCTGAGAAAAAAAATTATTTCAGACACACTGAGCATGTATGTTCCTTTACACTTTCTGGTGTACTGTATCCATATGAATTACTGAACCTAGTCAGTCCTTGGTTTAACTGGAAGAATAGTAGCAGTAACAGATTTTAGCCTGTTCAACCAATAAGCTTCACTTTAAACTGACCAATGAAATTTCAATACTTTCGCATGGTTCAAGGCGACAAATATCGATTTATTGAATTTAACTAGATAAAGCTCTGATGATTACAATAGCTCTTCCTCTTAATAGTTTAGAAGTGAACTATGGTCTTTTTGATATATATGAGATAATAGTTTTTTCCTTTAACTTGTAGAGATTTATGACTAAATAATACTTTAGGTAGTAATCTCATTATCAGTATGAGGATTTGTGGAGATTGTAGTATTTTGACAGTTGATTTTACCAGTCAATCTAAGCCATCCCATTACTTCCGGGTTTTCAATGGTGGTCTAGCTTAGATTGCTTCGTGTATTCAACTGTTAAAGAAAGTGATACCAGTGTTTTTATTCAGATTTGTGACCGATAACGGTCAATCAGATATTACCATCTTATTGTAACAATATTTATTAATTACTTACTGTCTTATCATTTGTTTGAGTGGGAGTTGTTTTTGGTCAGTTTCTATACCAATAAAACATATATTCTGTTGGATAATTGAGTCTATCATTAGCTTTCTGGATTAAGAAAACTGTAGACGTGAGATTAATTTATTGTCTTTATAGGCATCTATGAGTTGTACTGCTCGGCCTCGTTTCTGTTTTCGGCACCGATTTATCCAATGGTTACTACGTACCTTCAGATTCTCTTAAGAAATCTAGGAAGTCATTTTATCGTCTGAGATCGTTACACATATGCCATACTGACTTCTAATGTTCAGGCATTTAGTACTTTCAATGTATTTGATAAATTTCATTGCTGCAAGACACTTTTTTTATTCACTTTCCGAAGTGTGACTTCTCTCGTTGAATGTCCACTTCAGTTTTATACAGTGACTTGGTAAATACCATTTTATTAGATAGTCATTTAGTGATATGCGTGGGTATTGCAAGTTATGACATTATTTGCCTTATGACAATTACTCAGAGATTTGGATTCTGAAAATGGTTTTTAAAGTCCTTGAATTAATTATGTTTGTTGCGAGTACCTCTGGTTATGTACTTTTCATACTTCACAAATTCACCCCAGTGATAGGGATTGGAATCCTCCAAGCTTATAAGTTCTCTATAGAGTAGGGCATAAGTTTGATATTCCCTAGTACTATACCGTAGTGGCTAACTACAGGTCACATTTAAGGATTTTTGTAAGTATCCCATGATACATTTGGCGTTGATCAGGTCATTTCTACAGAATTGATCATCTATCAAAATACTACTTGGTTTGACGATTTAATAAAGGATGATTAATATAACAAAACACACCCAGTAGATAGTACTGGGTTTTTAAATGGTAGGTAGCTTATTTGAATTTTAGTGGGATCATCATTTGGATGTAAGATGTATCTATCTAACGAATCTCTAACACAGGGAAATTTGCATATGTACATACTCTTGACGTATAGAATGGTTAATTGATTCTTATTTTTTGCTGTTTACTGAATATGCAAGGGTGTGAAACGAAACTACTCTGTTCACCTTCTAGAACCTTGTACACCTTGGCGTTACAATGCAAAGAAGTTAGTCAAGTACGTTGATCGTCTGTATTTTGTGTTTTGCGTACTAACAATACTTAGTAATTCAAATTTCCTAGAAATGTTTATTCCCAGGTTTCATTTTGTGGAACTTTTTATTAAGCTCAAATGCTACAACTTTACTGTGAAATCGGAATTTCGATGGAGTTTTGTTCTCTGAACTTGATGGTTTGGTCGTGAAGCTTTCATCGTTCTTCTGAACGATATCCTCAGCACTTCTACATGAAGTTTGTGCTGATGATGCTCCACGACCAAACCATCCAGCTTAGACAATAAAACTCTATCAGAATCATGCACCTGAGCAACAAATCTTGATCATCTAAAAGTCGGAATTTCATTAGAACTCTTGATTAATATGCTTCATTCAAGCAAGTGATTTGTACCATATCCACTTACAGTTATATAAATCGTTGGTTTGTGAATGAGTGTCGATTACACTGATGGTTAGCATACATTTGAATGGATAGCATTCAGTCCAATAATGATAAGCATACTATTCCTTAAATTCGTTTACAGATTTGTACGTGGCGTGGAGCCACTTCTCATATTGATTAAAGAATTATAGTACTCGGGCATATCAGTCAGTCAGTCAGCTACAACGTCGAACCAGGCACATATATGCATCGGTCCAAGTTGCCATACCTCATTAGCACAGCGAGATGAACACTGGATTCATATAAGTAGTTAGTTCAGTGGTGGTAGTATATAAAAAATGACTGCATATAAGGACATATTATAGAAAGAAAGAATTAGTTCGTAGAAAGATATCGAGAGATTTTAATCTCACAGTTTAACGGAAGATAGAGAGTGTATACACCTACGCCGTTGTGATCGATTCCGAGCCATGTCACCCAGAGTATCCAACCATTCATTACGATAGTCACGCGGACTCCAACCAAGTAGTCTGCATCTACCAACATGGCTCAGACTAGAAGTTAATGACTTCAAGCACTAATACCACGTTTTGGTTTGTCCGCCCCTAACTTTCTTCCAGCCGTCTTCAACACTAGTCAGCATTGCTCTTCGCGGTAAACGGTGTTTAGGCATACGCAACACGTGGCCCAACCATTTCAGTCGATGAAGATTCACAACTTCACCAACTGATTTACCATCATTCCCAAATACCCTACATCTAACCTCACTCTTACTTACCTGGTGATTCCAGCAGATGCGAGCAATATTTCTAAGACATCTGTGGTCAAATACTAGTAACTTACGAGTATCTTCTACTCTCACTGACTACGTTTGACAGCCTTCAAGTAAAACAGGACGAACTGCTGTGCAGTGTACTCGTCCCTTAATTGATAGACGGATATCTCGCCTTCGCCATAGTTGGTGACTTAAGTTGGCGAAAGCCAAACGAGCTTTTCGAATATGTGCTGAGATTTCTTCTGACACCAACCCATTAGGGCTGATCAGACTTCCAAGATAGGTGAAGTTTTCAACGCATTCGACTACTTCACTTCCTATCCTTAGTTCAAGTATTGACGCAGGCCAGTCCTGAAGCAACGATTTGTCGCAGGATGGTTTTGACCATTTCTTGTATTTAAAACAATTAGTCCCTTTGATAAATTTCGATAATGCAATGAGAAGACGTAGTTTATCAGGATTATGTGATATATTTGCGCAATACATTTCGAACAATCTGACCACACATATACTTGTTAAGAACATTTATATATGAAAATTAAGAGGTCAACTAGACAGGTTAAGGGTAAGTCATAACAAAGGAAAAATATTAAAGTACATAAAAAACAAATGTGATTAACACTCTGGATAGTAAATCAGTACTACCAGGGTAGGTTAAGTGTAAGGACAAATTGTTTTTGAACACACAAAGGGGGTTTCAATTTCCGTATAGCCAAGACTTCAAAAAACCTTAGTATACGTCCTTGAAGGCTTTTGTACAACACAACAAATGCTGATTTGATATCAACCTTATGACCCGTCTCAATCAAATGTTTCGCAATGGAGGATAATGTCTGTCTATCCTGTGATCTTATTTGACCATTGGAATTCATTTCTTGTATATTGGGACAATCAGTGGTTGTGACCAGTCATATGGGATTGCATCCAACTCCCAGATTTTAGCTAAAATATTAGTCAAACTGACCACCAAAATTTGATCACCATCCCTAAAGACCCCTGCAATCAATCCAACTGAGTCAGCTGTTCTTCCTCGTTTCAGATTAACTATAGCCTTTTGAACTTCAGTTAGTCGGAGGACCTACTTCAGTGTTCCATTCAGACTGTCTGGGAATGGTAGATAGTAGTAGTGTAGCTGAAGGTCAGCTGAAGTGCTCCTTAAAGTGTTCCGCCCATCATTCTGAACGTCTGGGCTGAAAGCAGATAAGTGTCGTCTTTTTTCGAGATCACCTCACTTGCACTTGACTTATTAATTCCAGTTTCTTTTATTAGTCTGAAGAGCTGTCTTGTGTTACCTATAGCCGCCGCATTCTCCATATCTTTTGCTTTCGTTGACCACCACTGCTCACGGTCGTTCCTTAGACTTTTGGTTAACCGGGATCTGATTTATTTTCGCTCTTCATCGTGTTCAGAGCCTGATAGGATGAGTTTACGAGAATCCATCAGTGCGATAGACCTTGAAGAAATCCATTGGTTCTTTATAACCCTGTAGTTTAAATCACTAATAGATGTCACTGCTGTTTCCACAGCTGTTTGTATATCTTTCCAAGCACCATCTGGGTCAGCCTGGTTTTCAGAACTACCTAAATGAGACCTCAGTTGTTCCTGGAACCTACTTTTGGTTTTCTCGCTACTCAATTCAGTTCTAATGGGTCTTTTTACTGTCGCTTTTTTGCGTCCATTGAGGCGCAAGCAGATGCATGCCTGTATTAGAGCACGGTCGGAGTCCAAGTAGGTATTCCAGAATGAGCGACAATCTTCTATCGACCCTCTCCAACGATGACTGATGGTAATATGGTCTATTTGAGCCCATCGTTGGTTTGGTGTAGGGGGTCGCCATGTTGGACGATGTCTCTCCTTATGCTTAAAATTTGTGCTTGCTAAAAATAAACGATTGTCTGAGCACAGTTGCAGCAGATGATCACCATTATCTGTTCGCTGAGCCTGGATTCCAAAATACCCATCTAAATGCTTTTCTGTTTGGTTTAAACTACCTATCTGGGCATCAAAGTCACCTGCTACGAGTACTATGTCTGAACGTTTAGCTTTTTGAAGAAGTTCAGTAGACCTGGGACAGTGTTTTGCGCACTACAGTCGTTGGCCATGGTGTTACTTGAGGAGGAAGTCAAAAGAGGAAGTTTAGAGTTGAAAGTCAACAAAGGAGGAATAATAGGAATTGAAGCGGGAAATTGATTATGAATACAGTGGTCTTGAGTGCTGTTAGAGGTGTGAGGGCGGTTTACACTTCCTGGTTGTCCAGACCGTGGAAGGGTTCTTCTAGAGGTACCTGAAAAGAAAATTGGACTAGAGGTGGTCTTAGTGACCTGAGAGTGTGATCGTAGTGCCTAAGTGACAACTGCTTGAGGTCAGCGACACACGACCTTATTGTAATTTTTGAGACTTTACTACCGGAGACAGATATCCGTGGGATAAGATGATGTGTGCATTTTTAGGGTCTACCCTTCCTAACCTCACCCTTTGTGGGAAGGCAGCATTGCTGTTATATTCGTTGTCTGAAGGAAACACCTTACTGCCCTCACACCTCTGTGCAGTCAGCAGTACGACTTCACCTTCGGACCTTGGGTTTGTTGCTTTTATTCTTACTGTTCTTCAACCTACCTGTCTGTCATAGTAAAACCTTGAGTAACTATTGTTCCAGCCAGTATAGCTTTATTGGTTCATCACGGTAGGCAAGCCCGACCACCATGTCAAGTTAGCAACAACGGTCGGGACCCCGGCATATACTTTAATAGTATCTTTAACCCGTAAGTCAGGGGTTTTCATTATTTTTCATCAAGATCACAGAGACAGATACTACAATCAGTGTAGCTGATCGGAATAAAAAATAGTGAGGGATTTAATTGATCAAGTATAACTTGAAATTTAATGAGTCGACATTGAATCGAGTTATCTGTATTTCGAATGAGTTGTTTTTGATTTTATTTCCTTACGTTGCAGGTAAAAGCACTGTTAAATAATAGTAGGGGTGTGTGAATAAATCTCAATATTCTTTGCTGCATTATTATGCAACCTGCAATGAAAAATGTTGACTAGTGGATTTGAATCCGGTATTTAACTTATTGTAAAACAACTGTTATATTCTTCCGATTTATTTTAGCTTTAGGTGTGCTTGTTTATCGTGAAAAATGCTTCCAACCTACCCAGCCATTTCGGTTTCTGTTTTTAACGCTTGTTCGTTTCATTTAGTTTCCTTTGTACATTACTTACTTACGCCTGTTACCCTTCGTGGAGAAGCATAGGCCACCCAATCTCCAACCAACTCTGACCTGGGCAATCCTTTCTAGTTCTCAGTTTCTATCCATTCTTTCGATATCTGCCTCTAATTCCGACGCTATGTTTTTCTTGGTCTCACTATTTTCCTTTTCCCTTCAGGATTCCGAGTTAGGGCTTGCCTCATGATGCAGCTAGGTGATTTCCGAAATGTATGTCCTATCCACCTGCAAAGTCTTTTTCTAATTTCCTCTTCAAGTGGAAGCTGGTTTGTTCTCTCCCACAGTAGACTGTTGCTTATGGTATCTGGCAACGAACATGGAGTATCTTGAATCGGCAATTGTTTGTCAATACTTGTACATGTTTGATGATGGTTGTGTTAGTTCCGGAAGTTTGAGCTCCTTACAGTAGAACTGTCTTGACGTTCGTATTGTAGATTGTGAGTTTGATATTGTTTGAGAGTTGTTTTGAGATGCAAATGTTCTTGAACTGTAGGGATGTTGTTCTTGCTGTGGCAATCCTTGCCTTTACGTCTGTATCAGATCCTCCTTGTTCATGGATTATGCTGAGTAGGTGGTACATGAAACTTTCACCAATTGTGATTGTGTTGGTTTCCT